ATAAGTACGCGAAGCGCCAAAAGCGCGAATCATCAACGATACTAATGCTGGATTCTAAAACATTCGGGGCTCCTTTAAAGGTAGTTTGTATGCAAATTATTCATGGATTCTCAATTTTAGTTCCTTAGCGTCAGAAATTTATCATTTTTATATTACCTCGTCGGCAACAAATCATCCACCACCACCTCCATCCACGTCCCGAAACGCCAAAATCGAAACCGGAAGATGCCGGAATACGTGTTACCCTTCGCCCATTCCTGCTTGTGGGCCGCTGGAATTACCTGAAACACGAGTTTTTCAAGTTGTCTCTTTTTAGCTTTTTTAATTTTAGTTTTCAAAATGCCAGGAAACTACTACCTTTTCCAGCAAATCCTGATTATGCGTTAATGCCGAGCAGGCGCTCACGAACCAGCAGTTCCCGAGGATACCCTGAAAAGTATAGAATTTCGAGCAGTAGGTTCTATGATTTGTATTTTATAATTTAGCCAACGCTGGGATAGAAAAGGAACAAAATTATACATTTCCATGCTCCTGCTTAATTCAAACGCGTACGTATCCGGAGGGTTTCTTTGCTTTCGCGCTTGGTTGCTGGTTGTGCTTTTTTCATCTGTATCTTTTCAAATACCGGAATTCGCGTGACAATTTCAAAAAATTGGTGAAAAATCGGGATTATTATTGGGTAAACCTCAAAAAATAACTACCTGCGTCACATCATTAGGCGAAGCTCCTTCGACGAAAAGCTGCGGATTCGAGCAGATTTCCTGGAAATTTTGTTTTTCATATTTTCCTTTCTTTCTTTTTGACGAGGCTTGTTCTGACTTTTAAATATGATTACAGCTTTAACCATTCCTACTCCTTCCCTTTTTAGGATTTCTGAGTACAGTTTTCTACAAAAACTCAAGCTCTCCGTTTACGTGAATGTACAAATTGCACCACGCGCTAGACCATCGGAACACATTGAATTAGGCAAGAGAGCAGGAGAGAGAGAGAGAGAGAGAGAGAGAGAAAGAGAGCCAATTCCGATGCATCCCTCCTTGGACCAAACATCCAATACACACTATCAAATCAGTAATACACAAAAATGCATTTCCACCCCCACGTTAACCCTTTGACGTCAATGCTCATCACAGAAATTTTCCGCCCGCGCCCCAAATTTCGGGGTTGTGCGTATTTTCTTTTCAGTTCGTTCCTTTTCTTTCCTTTTCTTTCCCTTGTACACCCCCTCATCCGGGGCACTGGCATTAGTCATCCTCCGGAATTCGACCCCTCCCTGCCCGTCAGCAACGTGATAAGGAAAAGCAAAGGTCAATGCCGAATTCCCGGGTTGATTTCTCAGGCTTTTGGCGGGATTGTCGTCAGCAGGCTTTGCATTTTTCTACGGCCTCTTGCAGTCAAAATCGACGGAACGGCCCTTGAGAAGCCAGGAATTCCGTTAGACTACAATAGCTACAAAGTATGGCTTGAGAGGTGCCATCTAGCAGCGATTTTTTTTGACAAATCTGGATGAAAGTGATCTCTAATTTCCATTTCTCATCTAGCGGTTTCATACCCCCTTAATCCGTTTTTTTTTTGCAAAACGTGCTGCCAGGGACATTCTTCGCCCAACACCGTTTTTACCGGAATTCCACCCCGGATGCCCATTTGTCAATAGGAGCATGGCGTATCCGGTGTCGCCCTTTTTTAGCACTGATTTGGTGATGGATGGGTGTCAATTCGGGGGAGATTCACCCCCACGAACCACAACACGCTTTCCGGGAATTAATGGCTTACGTACTGGCTGTAGAAAAATACCAGAATTGGAATAATTTTAGACAGGGGAATTTTGCTTTAAAGGAGCAGGCAAGGCAAGAAAAGGGGAAAATCTCAGGCTTTTTTATCACATAAGAATTGCTATGAGTTATTAAGCCTGCTGTCACGCTCCCTTTAACTGCGTTGCAGTGGATGCTAATCGATTACGCCATGAAATTACCCTTTAAAGTGGCTTGGAAGGCAAGAGAAAACGGATTGAAAGGAGCTCTTTTTATCTATATCGGGTGAGCCACGTATTACGCCATGAAATTTCTCTTCTCTCTCTGGCTCTCTCTCTCTCCCTCTCTCTCTCTCGCCTTCTTCAGATACTTTGCTTTATATGATGGACAAGACAAGCATCCGATTACGCTATCAAAACACCATATTTTGAAGCGTAAATTTAGTGGGCCTTTGATTCGGTTTATGAAGTTTATGAAACAGTATCCCTTGAATTTACGATCCCAAAACTGTCTTTTTTCGGCCTCATTGGACCCTTGTTGGGGCCACCCTGAGCGCCCTCCTCAATATTTGCCCAGTTTCGCCTAAAAAGGCAAGCCATTTTCGGGGTGGTTGGGCGGATTGAAGAGTTGAAAAGAGACCTCAAGAAGAAGAAAAGAAAAAAGCGCCTTCCCGCCCTTACTCCACGGTTATCGATTGTTCAAGAGGGAAAACACGGACGCTAGCCATTTCATTGCCTTGCAAGATCCGGCTAAAAGATGCCCCAGATTTCCGGGAAGATGACGGAAGAGGGAAGGGAGGGGGAAATGGTGCAAAACGAGGAAGTCCGGGGAGATCAAGGTTTGAGGAGGAACTGGATTTGAAGGAGCTTAGGCTAATTGGCTGAAAATTGCAACTTCTGAGCTCGGTGAGCCCCCTGCGAAAATTCATAAAAATCTACCAAAAATGAGAAAATGAATGAAAAAAGATAGAGCCAGAGAGAGCGAATGAGAGAGAGAGGGGAAGTGAAATAGAGAGGGAGCGATAGAAAGAGCGAGGCATAGAGAGAAAGGCGGACTTGCAAATTAGGGATTTCTCAAGCCCGCGAATTTATTTGCAACATTGAAATGGTTTTGTAAGCCGCAAACTCTCGGAGATTCCGAAAAAAAAGGTTTAGAATGCCAGTTCTTGAATTTCAAACGGTGTCTTTGCAAATTTCATATTTTTATAATTGGGTTAAATTAGTAGAAAAAATAAAAAGCTAAAGAAAGTTTCATCGCCTGTTAAAATGGTCAGCAAACGTCCAGGAAGTTCACAGTATTTCAAAAATATTGAATTCACGGCAACCAAAGACCCTCGAAATCTTTTTAAGCACAAAATAAAAAGTGTATTGGCAGCCATAAAGCAAAACTAGGTAAAAAACGTACTCCTGGTCGTTTCCAAACAATGTCCGAACTCCGATCGCCTTCGAGGAATAAAGAAGTGTTAGTGGGCGGAAAATCCGTGTCCACAAAATACTGGCCCGACTTCTCACATTGCTTCTTGATGTCGTTGTATCTAAAAAATTCAAATACTTGATTCATCGAAACCTAAACCAAGTTAAAAACTAGCCCTACCTTTGTTGCCCAAAATAGGTGGTGCCCGCCCGGACCCGCATGCGATGGGGACGAGGGTCGCTGAAAAATCATGGGTTTTGCGTGAAAAATTCAGATCGAGCCAGGTGAAGATTGGGGAACGTACCAAGACGTCAGATTTTGGAATTTTCGGTGGTTTATAAACGTAAATACAATAACCGTAAGATTTAAAAAATGTCAATGAGGATATTTTTTAATTGTTTTCAAAAAACGTGCCATTTTTATCGCGGAAATGTTGCCTTCTTGCAGAACTAATAGAAGGATCGAGCTGTTAATGTCTTTAGCCTAGAAAGATTATCTTTTTTTACCCAAAATCAAACCGCGAAAAGCAAGTTTAATAATTTTAAGAGGGCAGTGATATGAAGAATTTTTTGATGTTTCCGGTAACCGTATACTGCATGGAAAAATTGGAATATTTACATTCGTAGGCAGAGCCATTTTCCAGGCTATATTTAACGGAAACGGTGGGAAAACAGCTTCTTTAAAAATGCTTTAGAACCTGATTAAGGAAAGAAAAGAATACTCTAGATTCTCCTTAATAAAAAAGTATAGCCAGCCAACCCATTCCCCCACCTACCCCTAAACAGGCCTTGGCGAGCGGGTGTGGGGTGGCGATCTGTGGGTCAGGGCAAGAAGGCAAGACAAGACGCAGGCCTGGTTCGGGTTGTGCGTGCCTGTATGCATGTATGTCTCTCTGTCTGTTTGTATGTCTGTCTGTCCGTCTTAGATGCGGGGTGCCTCAGAGCGGGGGCGCAGTATCTCGCGGGGGGGTGAAATGTGCGTCTATCTGCCTGTCTGTGCACGTCTATCTATCTATCCGCATCCGCCTCGTCTCTCTCTCTCTCTCTCTCTCGCTCTCTCTCTCTTGCCTCTATACTGATAGGTAGAGACTGCGGGGAGCCCGAGAAAATGGCTGAGAAACTGCCTGGAAAACCATGTTCTTTGCTACTATTTTCTGTTGTTCTTTTTTGCGCTAATTCTTTTTTTGCACGGCCTGTCAGCAGTACACATGTGGAACTTGGTGAACCAGGATACGGGGACCTTGCTTTTTGTAGTTTGCGTTTTTCCGGACCCAGATCATTGTACCAAAGGAGGAAGTTGTAAGTTAAAAACTTTGACAAATACGTTTAGCGAAATTTTTTGACAAGGGTCGAAGGTCGTTTTTAGCTCATTTAATTAAGTCCTAGAATTCATTTTTTGTGCTTTTTTGAACATAAAACTCTAATTCCTTAAACCCACCTCTTCAACACACCAAATAACCATCGAAAAAAGCTGTCCAAGCTGTCCATTCCATCCAATACTTTACCAAAAGTTTGGCATCGAACGGCCCGGCGGGCACGGCTCGCGTCATAGTTTTGTAAACAATGGAATTTATTGGGGAGTGATTCAAAAGGAAGGGCAAACAAGCAGTGATTATTGTGGAAGAGAATTTTTTGTACTTCGATGTCGATTCTATAGGAAAAATAGGGAAATTGGCCGTGATTAGGCCTTCAAGGTTCGGTTATGGCGCCAGCAACGGGGGCTAGAGGGGGGCGAGGCAGCCCAGCCAAGCCCAAGCCTAGTAAGACAAAGTCTAGGCCTGAACATGTCGTGTGAACAATTGAAAAGTCTTACTTTATCAAATATATGTCGAAAATGCTATGCTTCTTGTTCTGATGGGAGATTCAGCTCGATCCAGTCCAACCCTTCATAGATTCCTTCGCCCGTATGTGCAGAAGTTGCTTGAATGTGCCACTGAAATATGGATGGCACTCGATCTCTCTCCCTCTCTCTCTCTCTCTATCTTGCTCTCTCTGTCTTCTCCAAGGGCCTCTGCAATTTACGCACTTTGTGAGTCTGATTCTTTTTCATTCCAAGTTCCTCAGCCAATTCCTCGGCAGTCAGAGCATTGGGAAGATCCTAAATTCACCCAGAATAAGCGTAATCAATTTTAAAGGGCCATTGAAGTAAAAATCCCAGGCCTCGCCCACCTGTTTATTTGCCAGCAACAAGAAGATGGTATTTCTGAGCAAGTCTTCGGTGAGTAGACTCGCTAATTTTTCCGCCGCTTCTTTCAACCGCAATTTATCGACCGAATCCACCTACAAACGCCGCAGTGTATTACTTACAACGAGACGAAAAATACCACAAAAATCACAGCATCCGGTTTTTCCAAATAGTGCCTCCAGAGGGGGGTCCCGATGTCCCAGCACGTCAACGAAAGCTGCTTGTACTCCACGGTCTCGACGATGAAGCCTAGACAAATCGTTTATGCTCTCTGCTACCTCCGAGCTAATGCTTGTTGTCAAATGATCACGGCAAGCCCGCCTCTGCCGCTCCCAAAAGTTCTCTGCTAGCCTTCCCCCTCCATTCTGAAAAGTTCTCTGCTAGCTTGCTTCTTCCATTTCCAATTGATTTCTGCCAGCCTGCCCTTCGATTCCCAAAGGATCGATGCTAGCCTACCCCTTGCATTCCCAAATAACCTCTGCTAGCCTGCCCCTTTAATTCCCAAATGATCTCTGCTAGCCCCCTTCCATTCCCAAATGATCTCTGCTAGCCTGCCCCTTCCATCCCCAAGTGATCTTTGCTAGCCGCCACAATTTGTTTTTAACTGATTCTTACCTGTAGTCGGAATCGTTTCCACGACCATTCCCAGCTTCATTTTATAAAGTAAAGTGGTCTTGCCGGCGCCATATAGGCCGCAAAACAATACTTTTGCCTCCCGCGGGGTCCCGCCAAGCTTCGAGAATGATTGCATAAAGCTGATCAATAGGCCCATTCTTGCGTCGCTTGTCGCAGCGTCGTTTAGTGCGCAAAATCTTCTAGTATTTTTGCAGATTCTATGGAGTAGGTCTTAACCAGCAAAAGTTCTGCACAATTTAGGCTTGTCCCGGTGACGAAACTCCGAACCACCCAAAAACGGCTCCTTTTCAGTCAGCAGGAGGAAGGCTTATCAACGCGCTCAAAAACAGCTTGCGTCCTGGACTTGCCACACGACACTTGCGCCGCTTACTCATATATTGGTTTAAAATGTAGTATTCGGTATTTATCGGGAATTTTGACATTAAATGATCCTTCGAACCAGGTAGTCATAGGTTTGGAAACAATGGCATTTATTGGTGGTCGAGATTCAAAATTCGCTTGAAAAGGATGGTGTGGAGGGGCAAACAAGCAGCGATCATTGAGGAAACAATTTTTGTACTGTCCATTCCTTTCTATATATAAATAACACAAATTAGGTCTCGTTCAGGCCTTCAACGTTCTGTTCAGGTAGACATCTGGTACCGGTCGTGGCATTCTTCCTAAAAATTACAGTATTTTTTGATCTAGTAAATCTGACGATGCAGGTGAAAAAAATTAAATTTACAATTTTTGAATTTTGGATATTTTGATCTGGTTTTTCCTTCTTTGCATACCAGTAATCAAGTTGACAGTGGCTTCGCCTCGGAGCTCCTTCTCGTAGTCGATCAACTGGCGCCAGAAGCCCAAATTCGGGGAGATGATCGGGCGTCTCTGAAAGGTTATTTTGCCGGAAATTCTTGTTTTTAATGCCTAGGAGGTCTCTGCTAGCTTGCCCTAAGCCTAACCTCTCGGTCTAAGCCCAAACCTGAGCCTAAGCCTGAAGTAAACCTAAACCCAAGCCTAAACCTAAACTAACTAAAAGGGTCGGGACTAACCAAGCCTAAGCCCAAGCCCAATCCTAAGCCTAAGCCTACTCGATGATGTTTTTGGGTGGGCTGGCTCCACTCGGATGATAGACATTTGAACTTTCGATCTCAAACCTGCGGTATCCCAAACTACACATTTCCTAAATGATCCTCATTCCGTCTGGCATTTCCGGACCCTGAGATCATGTACCTGATTGAGATGATAGTACGCATCACGAAGGCTCATCCCAACGCCCTTCACAAGATAGGCCAGGCAGAGGGAGGCAGCCCGGCTGACCCCGGCCGCGCAAAATATGATCGCTTTGCCGCCCTAAAAATTTTTATAGATTTTTTAGGCACTTTAAGGTACCCGCGATATGATTTTACATAGCTTCATGACTTTTCCATCCATTTCCAAGCTTCAAATTTTTATTTACAACCCATCTTTCCAGATTTCTAGAGCGGTTTTCCAGCGGTTTTTCAACTATTCCAAGCCAACGAAAAATGGATAGTTCTGCCTTCCTAAATATTTCTAAACCAGAAAAGATGCCTTAAGATAATCATCATAGAGCCTTCATACTCCTAGTAGCTTCCCAGAAGTAATACAATCATTAAAGTTTAAGCTACAAAACAATTTTTCATAAGATTTTGAAGATGATCCGCCCTAAACAAGGATTTTTTAGACGTGTTACGACATTTTAAGCTTATAATGTTTTTCGATTTTTTGACTCGATGCTCCTTCCAAGCCACTTGAAACCCTTAAACAATTTCCAAGCAATTTTTATCAATTTTTTAGATCATTTTAGACCATTTTTCTGTATTTTCTGTACTCTCTTTCTCTAATTCTCTCTTATTCTCTGTCCCTGAATTGCAAAACACTTTATTTGTAAAAACCCAAGGAGTATTTACAAAATACGAAGGAGATGTTGGCGGGGCAGGGCAAGATATAAGAATTTTTGGGGGGTGAGATGGAACGACGGCAAGGAAGCGACTTCTGCTCTGGCGCGGTTGGAGTTTGTAGTTTAATAGCCGGAGAGCTCCTGAAAATAGGGATTATATAATCTTGCATACATTGCTTTTTACAGATTTTTTAATAAAGATTGGAGCTTGACCCTGAGCCTATCAGAGGATCATTGCTTAGCTCGAGCTTCGCTTGGCTGTGCTTTGTTTAGCTTGAGCTTGGTTTAGCTTGCGTTTTGCTTAGCTCGAGTTGATTTGGGCTTCGGAGTTTGAGTTCGCTGAGCATGATCCTTTCTAGCCTCAGCTTCGCTTAACTGCTTGTTAGATTTTGAGCTCCATCTTCAGATAAGCTACGACTTTTTGAATCGTTTTAGGCTATTTTTCCTTTAGCTTGGCTTATTTTTGAACTTGACTTTGAGCTTGGCTCAGGCTCAATGCAGCTTTTGATCGGGCCGAGTTGAAAACACGTTTTTTAGCAGAGCTGCGATGCAAATCGGCTGGATTTCACTAACCTGGAAAGTGTCGTCCAACTCGTCGGAGATGGCGGCATAGCGCTCCTTCTCGTGGACGAGCTCGTCCTCGAGACGGTCAACCTCCTTCTGCAGCTTCTGCACCGAGCGCTCGGCGAATTCGGCGCGGGTCTCGGCCTGAAAAATGGACAATAAAACTGGATAAAGATATCGAATTAGCGCGGAATAAGCTGCTTTCTAAAATTGGGGGGGATCAAAAAAACGGAGACATTGGGGTGAACAAGAAAAAAGAAAAAATTGAATTAAATAATTAAAAAAAAATGATTTCCCAAAACCCAGATTTCAAAAAGCACTATAAGCCTCTGACAGAATAAATCGATAAAAACACAGCAAAACACTGCAGAAAATTTTTACGGGGTCGAGAAGTGAAAAAAAGGTACCCCAAACCACAGAAATCTGCCAAAATCACGATAAAACTGACCTCCTTCAGCCTCTGGGTGATGGTGCGGATCTGGTCGCCGAAGGCGTCTTCCCTCTGCATAGCCTTCTCCTCGGAAACTTCCAGGGATTTCAAGTTGTTGCCGACGACTCGGAGCTCCTCCTCAAGCTCGACGATCTTGCTGAAAAGAATGGGTTTAATCTGTTTAGCTGAAGCTCAAAGCTAAGCCTAAGCCTAAGCCCAAGCCTCAGCCTAAGCCTAAGTCTAAGACCAACCTAAGCCCAAGCCTAAACCCAAGCCTATGCCTAAGCCTAAACCTACTTTTCTCCGGCTTCGGCGCGCTCCTCGGCCCTCTCGAGATCGGCCTCAACCATGGCCAATTTACGGGCGACCTCATCGTACTTGCGGTCGGCCTCCTCGGCGAGGGATTGGGCCTCCTGAAATGGGGAGCATGAGCAAGAGAGGAGAGTGTGAGAGGGAGAGAGAGAGAGCGAGAGTGGGCAATGCAAGTGATAGAGACTGAGAGAATGAGCAAGAGCCCGCTAAAATAACTGAGTGAAAACGATAAAGACCAAGGGCGAGAACGACAAATAAAAAGCTAGAGAGAGAGAGAGAGAGAGAGAGAGAGAGCGAGAAAGAGAGACCTCTAAAAAACAAACCTTGAGCTGTTCCTCAACGGAGTTGGCCTTCTCTTCCTCCTGGAAAGACTTGGCCTCCATCTCGCGCCGGCACCTTTCGGTCTCGTCAATCTGTCCGGTGGCCTCCTCCAACTTCTCGGTGGCGACCTTCAGGCGCTCCTCCGTCCTTTGGTACTCCTCCTCCACCAGGGTGATTCGGCGGTTGATGGAGGCGACCTCGGCCTCGGCTTCGGAGGCCTGAAGGGAAAATTTTTGGGTGAGAGCACGAAGATTAACTGACCTTCTTCTCCTTGTCTTCGACCTGCTGGGTGGCGTTGTTGAGCTTCTCCTGGACCTCGTCCAAGTTGTTCTCGGTCTGGACCATCTTCTTCTGGGTGTCGCGCAGCTCCTCCTCGACGGCGGCCAGCCTGCCCTGCACCTCGCGCTCCTGGAAAGTGGGGGCATGAGAAAGTTTAGAGAAGATTACATTTGCAAAGGTTGGTTTTCTACCAAAAAACCTTTAACTTTCCATTTACGATAATTCAGGCTGAGAACCTAACTTCGATTTGGATTAAACGATGTCTTGAGGGAGTTCACTCTTGATAAAAGATTGAGTACCAAATTAAAAGGTAGGTCTTATTGAGAATACACAACGTCTTCAAGGAGTTCAAAAATGGTTTTGGTTGGTTGTAAGGTTTTGTAAGGTTTTGCTGCGACTGTTTTTCGAGCCTGGTTAGAATTTTATAAAAGCAAAGCAACATCTTAACATTGTATATTTTGAGCGCCGAAATTACGAGAGAATACGAAGTTAGAGTATTGCAGACTAGAAAATACAAAACGCTGCAAACTACAAACTTTAAGTCGGTTTGTTGCCAAATAAACTTCTAACAAGTTTTTAACTTTAACAAAACGGGAGCTTTTTCAGAATTTTTAGATTCCAGAAAAGCTGTTGCTTTTTTTGTACAATTCAAACTATTCCGAAGGGCTCTATTATTCATAGATCGAAGCTCTGAACAAACCTTCTCCTCGGCCTCGTCAGCACGCACAAGTGCGGCATCCTTCTCCATCTTCATGGCCTGCATCTTCTTCTTGATGGCGTCCATCTTGAGTTTGGTCTTCGGGCTGGCCCGGCTTCGAGGAACAAAAACTGAAAACCGCCCGGTTTCAGAGACCGTCAATGAACAAAATCTATCACAAAAACCGCGAGAAGCACATTGTAATAATTTGTATTAAAAAAAAAAACATGGAAATACATCCAAAAATATCGTAATAGAATCCCAGCGGGTTCAGGGATGCTCGAGGATTGCCGTTAATTTTTCATAAAAAATTTTTCAATGAAAAGACTTAGAAATGGCATAATGAAACTCAGAAACCAGAGGAAAGCGAATTTCGAAGGCCAGCAAAAGCGGTGGGCAATGATTTTTCTGAATCACGACTTCCGTAAACAGTGATAAGAGAAGTAGGGTGTTATAAGGAAACCCAGGGGTGATAACTGAGTGAGCGAGAGGGTGAGAGAGTTCGAGAGAGAGGGAGGCAGTTAGCTAGAGCGAGAGGGAGCGAGAGAGCGAAAGATAGACAGCGAGAGAGAGAAGCGAGAGAGAGCGAGAGAGAGAGGGAGAGACCGAAAAATAGCTTGTAAACCTGGAAATTAAATTTTTCTTCGAAGATTTGAAGCATAAAGGCGTTTTTAAGGAGCCACGAAGTTTGAAAGTGGACCAAAGCTGTCAAAAATTATGTGTTTCTCGGACTGGAGTGAGCTATGAAAAAGCATTCGTAGATTCGAACTGGTCGGAGCTACAGTATGCGAGAAACCCAACAATTAACAACGTAAGTTGTTTCTAGGGGGAAGTGGGCTTCATGAACGTCAGGAGCTCCAAAATCATAAAAGGGGGGGATGAAAAAACAAACAAATGCCAAAAAAGTAACATTAAGAAGTATTATGATGATTCCAATCGAAACATGAAGCTATTTAGGTGGCCTCCTTTCTTTTCTGTGTATGTGTGAGGGGTAGAGAGGCTCACAGCTCAGGAGGGCACCCCGCGATTCTCCCCCTCCTTGGCTTTGGCTGCTGTAAAGTCGGGGCCCTCCTGAGCAGCGGCTGGCAGCGGGGGCGAATAGCCCGAGGCAAGAGAGAGATAGAGAGCGAGACAGTGAGAGAGCGCGCGAGAGAGATACAGAGATCCAGAGGAGTACCAGCTCGTCAAGCCAAAGCTTGGGGGGAACAGAGGGCATTCTCGGGAGTGGGGGAGGAGGGGCGCTGGAGGTTGATCTATAACTATCAAGGAAAAGCTGGGGGATAGCTTGTCGATAACAGGTTGACGGAGTCAGGCTATCAGAGATTATTTGGTACTAAATTTCAGACGCGGAAGCTAGCAGAGATTCCTTAGGAATCATGGGGATAAACCGGGGCTAAAAATAGACCGGAACCCGAAAAACGGATTTGGTTCGGGGCAAGCTAGCAGAGACTCTTGGATTGCTGAAAAGTAGTTCCAGTATAAAAACAGCTTCTAGAGGTCAGCCTAGTGAAGTAGCTAAAAAGACTCTTTAGGAAAGCATCGATAGGTTCTAATCTAAGGAAAACGAGAACGAGCTTGACAACGCCGAAAATCAGATTGCTCATGCTCACCTAGGCCGGCTAGCAGATGTCCTTTGAGACAATCAATTTGGAAATGGGACAGGGGAGCATCAGAGTCCTGGTTAAGTCGGTTGAGGCCGGGCTAGCAGGGATTCTTGGCGGAAAAGGGTTATAGAGCACGAGTGGGTGCGTGAAAGAGAAAGAGAGAGAGTGAGAGAGTGAGAGGGAGAAAGGGTGCGTTACAGAAATTGCTAAATTTAGCGAGTCATTGCGGAAGGCATCGAAGCCAATTCCCCAGTTTTTCAAAAACCAGAGAGGGATAGATAGATAGAGCGAGAGTGGGAGCAAGAGAGACGGAGAAATCATTGAAAAATTCAACCAAATTGACAACAATAATCGACCCGATCAAATTGATCGGAGCGGCAACTCGAGCATCCCTGAACCGAGGCCGAGCCGGGCCCGTGAGGGATGGGATTACAGTGGCTGGAAAGGGCCAACTGAGAGGGGGCCCAAGTCAAGGGAAGGGACCCCAAAGACATCAACGATTCCGCGAAACACCCAACGACACAAACGGGGCACGGCAAAAAACAGGGCGTGTAGGATGTGGTGAGGAGGGGGGAGGAACGGGGAACAATGATAGATTGGGCAAGAAAAACATCGTAAAACATATTGCAAAGCTATGTATATGATAGTTCCTATGCTGTAAATTGTATCGCTCGTCATCAAAAAAAATTGGTTTTAATGATTAATTAGGAGATTTTATACGTTAAAATTCATACTTTTTAGTTTCTCATCATTTGTTTGTCTTTTACATCGCAAAATTCATTTCAACCGACCAAATATTGCCTTTTCTACCGCTCTGTAATGAATTTTGTACCTTGAAAGTTGTATATATTAGCTTCACAGGATTTGTATGTCTGTGATTTACGCAAAGCCCAGTTTTATAGGTTGAAAATGATTTTTCCAAGCCCAGATTTGCCCCAGAAACCAACTTGAGCTTTTGCCGAATTCACGAAATCGACGACAGCTTCAAAATGTTTGCTGATTTTTGCCAGTACATCGTCGGCGATGGGCACTTCCAGGATTTCGAATTCTAAATCCGTTCCTTGAAACTCTTCAAACATAAAACTATTCGAAATCTAGATTTAGTCGTCTAAAAATTAATTGGTTCTACATTTAGAATTTCCAAACGCTCTCTGCGGCTGGTGAACTACTAAAATCCACTTGTTCCGATCAAATCTGAGAAAAACACAAACTTCAAGTAGCCTACCTTTCAATTTCTTGCTCACAAGCCCAAGATTTGTCGCATCGACGAGGTGTGTGATGCCGTGTTGTTTTAGCTGAAATGGAGTTTTTTTATCATTGCCTTTTCATAATAAAAAACACACTTTTTTAACTTTTCTTCGGCTCCTTTCAGCAATTAACTCACTTTAGCTTCCGTCACACACCCAAATCCAGCAACAAACAGATGAGGCAACACCTCCGTGAAATCGAACAGATGCTCGGGCTTCTGGGGCTTGGCTTTTTCGGGCATTCTGAAACGTAGAGCGTCACTTTCCCACTTTTAAACGTAAAAAAAGCGATAATTAGAAGGTGTAAATTCTTTAACCCATGAATTTTTGAAGTCTTAAATGGAGAATGACATCTAATTTGGCCAATTTACTAGCTTATTTAGCCTGAAAACGCGAACTCGAAGCAAAGTTAAAGCCAAACTGTATAGAACTAGCCAGTTTAAACCTTGTTAAAACAAAATATTTAAATTTAAAGACCGGGAACAGCCCTCCCGACAAGACAAACCGCCATAAACTATTACGAACAAGGCCCATTATCCATGGGGCGCAGCGTCCGAGACAATTAAGTGCCACCGCAGTGTTACACAGCCCGAAAGTCGGCGTTTCTGCCGTGCGGAAACGCTCCGAATTTAATGGGGTTCAATTCCTAGCGCTAAAATTCAAAATTTTGACGCGGAGAGGCCCAAAAATCAATTGATGACGTGAAAACGCGGAAATTTCAGTTAAGGCAGATAAAAAATATCATTTTGCTGCAATGACCGAAAAACAATATAAACGCCATTCGGTGTAGCTGTAAAAGCTCTTAAATATTTCTAAAAACAATAATAAATCCTCTCCCCGGCACGTGATAAAAATTCGCCCCCGTAACCCTCCGGCGAGGGTACACTTGGGCGAAGAACAGCTGACGCCCTGAAGCTTTTCCCCCCTGACCTTTGATATTTATGAGGATCGAGACTTTTTAAGCATTTACGTTTATTAAGGTTACTTAAAAAGGTGTAATGATTTTTGTGGCTTGAAATTGGCGCTTCTAGATGAAAAACTCATTCAAAACACTAATAAATCTACTATTTGGGGCGGCATACTTGAGTAGAGACGGTTTGCGCGTTAAAAAAATCGCAATAAACTCCTTATTTGGTTAAAATGAAGCTGTAGCCAGCCTTGAAAGCCAGAGTTCCCAAAATTTGATCAAACCGTTCGAGTTTCCGGTTTTTGCGGTGCGCTACCAAAACTCGAGTGTCACCGGCACTTGAGTGCGGTTTGATAGCGATCTCTGGAAAGCCGTCTGCGCACTTTTTTGTTTTCGATTCTCCAGGATTTGTAAGAAAAATAAATACGCAAAAAGAAGTAAAAAAAATACCTCTGACCTGATCCCTAAAGCATGGGAACCACCGAAAAATACCGTACGACCCATTACGCTATGAAATTCGCGGCCCGGAAAATTATTTCACTTTTCCGGAATTCAGTTTTGTTATAAAACATTTTTATGTTCACGTCTTAATGCGTTCACATTTCTTTTTATGTTTTTCTTAAACACATTAATGCCCTTTTTCAGGATGTCTCGGGTAGCCTCCTACTTCAGCCGGTACAGCGCCAAGGAATGGCAGCAATACTTCCTCTCCACTCACTTCTGGGGCCCGGTGGCCAACTGGGGACTGCCGCTAGCTGCCCTCGCCGATCTCAAGGTATATTTTCGCTAAAAACGTCCAACTATCTATTTAGAAAAACCCCGACATGATTTCGCCGAACATGACGGGCGCGCTGATCGTTTATTCTTCAGTTTTTATGAGGTTGTTGTTTTTTTCATTTATTTTTGACGATTCTTAGCGGTGTCAAATCCATTTACTCTATTTTGTAGGTTCGCATGGCACGTGCAACCGCGAAATCTACTCCTCTTCGCCTGCCACTTCACGAATTTCAGCGCGCAAACAGGACAGGTATCTCATTAAAAGTTATAACATTTTTCTTTAGATGTTCCGCTACCTCAACCACAACTACTTCCACATCTACAAGGACCCAGCAGCAACAAAGGCGGTACTCCAATGATTTCCAATTTTCCGGTATCCATTTCCCCCTCCATTCGGGTCGCTTGTGAATTTTAGAGTTTCATTTTTCATTTCATGTTTTTCGTTGCATACCATGATCCCATTTTCCGAATGCTTTATTACCCGGTAAATACACAGTGTAGAGGCCATTTTAGGCAAGTGAGTTGCGAGGGAAAGTGAGATTTTCGAGGGTACATGTGACATGGGAGGGTATGAGAATCCGGCAACGACCCGGCGAGTAGCAACACAAAATGTAGAAAGTAAATACAACGTAGGGGGGTATTATTATTATTGCTGAGCGTATGGGGGTAGTTCGTCGAAGAGATTTTCGTATCCTTGCGAGTAGGGGCCCGAGAAGTACGGGTCGTTGAGCGCTTCAGCGGCCGTGCAGCGTTGAATGACGTTCCAACGTAAACATCCTAAAGTTTTAATTAAAGCCAAAATGTACCACTCTTACTTTCGACCAATTGACGAGCACCGGCTGGTAGCAACGGGTTCAGCTCGTTCAGCGGCCTTCCGACAGTTTCTGGGTAGAACGAGTAGGGGATGATCGCGTCCTCTGGCCAGTCGGCAATGTTCGGCTTGCCATAGTCTCTAAAAATTATTTTGTTAAACCAAAATAAGGATAAAGCTTACTTGATAATCTTCCGCAACTGCTGCACCTCGGTGTCGCCCATGAACAGCGCCTTCCGGTTGTACATTTCGCACAGGATCAGCCCGAACGCCCACATGTCGACGGGGGAACCGTAGGAGCCTTGGAGGAGCAGTTCGGGGCTCCGGTACCAGAGTGTTACCACCTAGAAATTTAATTTATTTCGGTTTTCTGTCTTACTTTTAAATACCAAAACGTAAGATAAACGGAGACTAAAGAATCAGCTCTTAAAAAAACGAGAAAACGTACCACTGTAGTAAACTGAGCCAGCGCCGACGCCAACCGGGCAAGCCCGAAATCGCACACCTTCACGGAGAGGTCACTAAAATGAGGATATACAAAAATAATTTCACCTTTTACTACTGTTAGCTAGTACGGGAATAGCCAGAAATAAGGATAGAAGTCAGGGAAAGGAAAAAAGAACGAAATGAACCAATTAACAAATACTATAGACCCCACGCAACTTACCTAGGCTGCAAAACATTTTCTAAAAAAACATTTTAATCTATCATCCTTTTTAATTTTTAGAATCTATTTAAACGTTAAATTCTAAATTACCGGTTGAGCAGGATATTCTGCGGCTTCAGGTCCCGGTGGATGATGTTGTGGCCGTGGAGGAAGGCGATGCCGCTTAGAATCTGAAAGTTAAATTTAAATTTTGCATAATTTAAGAAATCAGCACAAGAAAAAGATTGTTTTTCAACGTACCTGCCGTGAAATGGTGCGAATCTGCGTGTCTGGCATATCCTTGGGGATCATGCGCATGAAGTCGTACAGGTCCCACTCGCACTTCTCCAGCACCATCCCGATTTGCAGGAAGTCGCCCTCGGCTGCGGCCGATTGACTCGCGAAGACATCGATGAGCCTGTAAGCATTATCGATCCACGAAAGTTCAATAGCTATCTGAATAAGTTTCCACAAAAACGCACTGCAACAAATTCCGGTGCCGGAAGCGCTTCAGCTTGACCAGGGTGGCGATTTCGCGAAGGAGATTCTGCGGCACGCCCTCTTCCGAGATCCGGATCACCGCTTTCTTGAGGGCAAACTAAAATTAAAGTAGATTGTACCGATTTTAGGTCTTCATACCATTTGCCCTGTTCTCCTGTGTTGTACTTGGAAGACGGTGCCGTACGCGCCTTGGCCCAAGTGTTTTACCTAAATTTAATTATGAAATTAGACGATTTTTCGATAGTTTTACCTCTTGATAATCATCCTGTGAAGCTGGCTCGGCCCATGGTTCTCTTACTACTGGGCCCTCCATCTAAAAACCAATATTTAGCCTTTGCAAACACCATAAACTTAAAATCTTTGAAAAACGTAATAAGTATCAATTTGCAAAGAAAATTCGATTTTTGTGATAATCCGCATTTAACGAATTTCGATCGATATTTTACCGCGTACCGGCCGTTGTATTTGTTCAGCAAAACTGCATAGTTAAAAATTTATCGGGAACGACTTGCTCATAATTTAAAAAAACGCAACAGCAAACAATCACAAACCCAATTTCAAGGCTTTTTCTAAAAGGACGAGAGGGAACATTGGTCAACGGGAATTCGGGGACTATAATGGATTTAAAGGATTTGGGAATAGATAAAAACAACGGTAAAGCGGGAAAGAGGATCAGGTTCAAGCGGACGATTCGCCCTTGAACACCTCGGGCTTCTCGGCCTCACGGACGTATTCGGCTTGGAAATGCTTGAACTTGGTGATCAGCTCGTCGAGCGGGAACTCGCCGAGGACCTGGAAAAAAGATAATGATTATGGTAGCATTTTGCGAAATAGCAATGTGAAAATCCACAAAATCTCACCGCATTCTCTCGCGTGCGCACGTTGGCCGTGCCCTTCTCCATCTCGCGCACGCCGAGAACCAAGATGAAGTTGAACTGGGCGAGCTGGGCGTTCCGGATCTGCTTGTTCATCGTGTCCGAGCAGCCCTCCTCGTACTCGACCTCGAAGCCGGCTTTGTAGAGCTAAAAATAGAATTTGTAAAGCTATCAAGCGAAGTTTACCTTCTCCTTGACGGACCTGGCGTATTCGCTGACACTCTCGTGCACCGTGATGACTTTAGCCTGAAAAATAACAATAAAATTTATGCAAAAAAATGAAACAAACCTGACGCGGGCTCAGCCAGAAGGGCCACTTTCCGCCGAAGCTTTCCGTGAGGATGGCCGTCATTCGTTCCACCGAACCGAGCACGGCACGATGGATCATCACCGGGCGCTTCTTCTCGCCCTTTTCGCTAAAGAGAATAGAATAAGAAAACTTAAAAACATAAAACTTAAAAAAAGCTGAACTTACTCAAAGAAGTGCAAGTCGAACCGCTCGGGCATCTGGAAGTCCAGCTGAATCGTGGCGCATTGGAAGTTGCGCTTCAGGGCATCCTAGAGAACAAGATTTTCCTTGAATAAGAGAACCTTCATACCTGAATCGTGATATCAATCTTCGGACCGTAGAAGGCACCATCTCCCGGGTTCAGCTTCCACGGCCGTCCGGAGAGGTTCAGGACCGTTTCCAGCTCCTAAACAAACAATTAAAAATCAAAACTATACAAAATTACCGCTTCAGCCTTGTTCCACACCTCCAGCTCGCCGAGGTAGTTGTCCGGGCGCGTGGACAGGTTCAGCTTGAACGTGAAGCCAAAGACCTGAGGAATTTAGGTTTTTAGGTAAAAAAAAATCAAGCTACCTTCTCGTAGGCAAACTCCAGATAGTCGAGGCATGCTCGGATTTCGTCTCCAATCTGGTCAGGGCGGCAGAAAATGTGGGCGTCGTCTTGTTGGAAGCGGCGGACGCGCGTGAGCCCGGAGAGGGCGCCCGACATTTCATTCCTGAAAGTAAAAAACTCTATTTTATAAAATTCAAAAACCTGTGGAGCACGCCAAAGTCGGCGAATCTGTAGGGGAGCTCGTTGTGCGTGCGTGGCTTGTGGGAGAACATCAGCGCGTGCCCGGGGCAGTTCATCGGCTTCAGGCCGAATTGCTCCTTCTCGACTTCGAACGTGAACATGTCATCCTTGTAATGCTGCCAGTGGCCGGATTGCTCCCACAGCTTGGCGTTGTACATGTTGGGCGTAATCACCTGAAAAAGAAGTTAAAATTAAGTAAGTTAATCCACCTCCGTGAAGCCACGTTTCCGGTACTCTCCTCGGCAAAACTCGACGAGCTTGTTGTAGATGTGGGCTCCCTTTGGGTACCAGAACGCTGACCCGGGGCTCATCGGGTGGAAGAAGAAGAGGTCCTGGGCGACGCCGAGCTTCCGGTGATCGCGCTTGGCGGCTTCTTCCTAAAAGAAAAATTATGAATTTCATTTTATAACCTAAAACAGTTGCCAAAAATCTGGTACCTGGAACTTTTCCCATTCCTTCAGCTGCTTGGGATCGGGGAAAGAAATGCCGTAGATGCGCTGCAGCGACTCGGCTTCGCAGTTGCCCTCCCAGTACGAAGCGGACGCCTTCGTGACTTTCATGGCCTAATCGAAGTTTTTTCGTCAAGCCAAAGAGATTTCTACCTTGATTTTACCGGTATGCCGCACGTGGGGTCCACGGCAGAGATCGATCAGTGGCCCACAGCGGTAAACCGTCGTGGACGGGGTCTTGACCTTCTCGTTGAGGATGCGAACCTGAAACAGAATGTTTTAAAAAAGAAGATTATAAAACCTTGAATTCATTGTACTTGAACATCTCAAGCAGGTCTTCTTTCGAGACCTCCAGGCGCTCGAAGGGCTGCTTGTCCTAAAAAGCATTTGGAAGATTTTAAAAAATCTCTACCTTCACCGCACATTTTGCAATCTCCTCAATCTTAGGGAAATCCTCCTGGCCGACCGTTTGCTTCTAAAATACTGTGAAAAGCGTAGCGAAGATGAAAACTGACCTCGTGCCACATGTCATAGTAGAACCCTTCCTCAATCGGAGGGCCGTAGCAAAGATGACCGCCGCAGAACCGCTCCATCGATTCACCCAAAATGTGGGCAGACGAGTGCCAGAAAACCTGAAAAAAGGAGCTTTTTAAAAATGAACGAACGCCTTACAGCTTTCGCCTCATCGTCGTCAAACTTGAGCAGCGCAAGCGTAGCGTCACCTTCGAACGGACGGTCGAGATCCCAGAGCTAATAAAAGTATAAAAAAGGACAATTCAGTCGTTACCTCGCCATTCACTTTGGCAATCACCGCATTCTCAGCGAGCCCCTTGCTGATCTGCATGGCAATATCGATCGGTGCCGTTTTCCACGATTCCGCGTCGAATTGCTTGCCATCGGGCACGGTGATCTTGATAGGCTCGCTTTTCTGAGAAGAAAAAGCTAAAATCGAGAAAATGAGGAAACCTTGGAAGCGAGTTCTTCTTTGTGCTTGGCCATCAGCTTGTCCCACAGATCGAGGCGATCTTGGATGTATGGCGGCCATGGTTTCAGCTCAGAATTCGAGGTGGTTACCTAAAAATAAGAATATTAAATGCTCCTTTCAAAACAAATATAATAAGAAAATCAGGCTACTCCGAAGTTTCTAGCCTATCGTTTTTGCGGAGCTATTGATGTTAGGGGGGGCATCTTTTTTTGGCGCCCAGTCTTAGGCTTAGGCTTAGCTTTGACTTCGCGTACGCTTGGCTTATACTTAGCTTAGGCCTAGGCTTGGCTTAGACTTAGGATTAGGATTAGGCTTAGCTTAGGCTTGGTTTTGGCTTAGCTTAGGCTTGTAGTAGTAAATGCATATGCCGTGCATTTATAACTAGCGGACGGTCTGCCTCAACATCTTTATTAGGAGCACGTGATGGGTTTCGTGATCCGTCGCAAGAGTAATTTGCATAAACATGTGCGCGGACGGCGCCGGCGCAATGCGTTGCGGCGGCCGCTCCATATGGTAAATTGTCATTGGGACAAGGCTTTACGGGTCATCCATGGGTGCCCGGGCTAGAGAAGTAGTAAGGCTTTGAGGGCACCCATGACATCTCCCCCGTCCACAAAAATGCCGTCCCGGCATGATAATCACAAAAAAAATTGTAAGATGCGAGGCAATTTTACATCGAACAACGCCTTCGGATAGAATTCGAAAATCCTACGGGTTGGAGATCCTATAGTTTTAGGACCAGGGGCCTAGGGGAAGTTCAAATAACAAGGGCTTTACTGGGCGAAACTGTTGCGCAACTTTCCTTCGACAATGAGCGGGGCTCCGGAATGCAATGGCTTAGCGCAGACTACCGTCTAACCGCCTCCCTCCGCCCATAGCTGGCTAGCCTACTGATGCACAATCCCGCAAAGCTATCAGAAAACGCATTCTCCGGGCAAAACCAAGTCTAGGACGCCCCCAGCGAGCACAAATTTGGAACAGGGCCAATAGAAACCGGTTTTTGAACAAGCGCAGCCCTAGGCAAAAAAAATCGACGCGGGGAAATACATATGCGCTAAACCTGGAACCGCCGTAGACGAATTGGGGGCTCATCCGCACATGGCACGTCAGCAGTGTCGGAATTGGACGTCTTCTTAGCAATTACAGAGCGCAGGCATCGAATAATAAGATTTGCGAATTTGGCGTTGTAGGATGGACTCAGGGACAAGAATGTTAAGGCATAACCAGTTGTTGAGCCGAATTGTCTTTATTTGCATCTTCCTAATATTTAGTCGTGGTGTAGCGGTTTCAGACTGAATAATCAGCAGGGGTAAGCACATTTAGGCATAGACAGGAATTCGGACCGGCTTATTATGAAGCAGAAAACCGGTTCCGGAACCTCCATGTAGTAGTAAATGCATATGCCGTGCATTTATAACTAGCGGACGGTCTGCCTCAACATCTTTATTAGGAGCACGTGATGGGTTTTCGTGATCGTCGCAAGAGTAATTTGCATAAACATGTGCGCGGACGCGCTGGCGCAATGCGTTGCGGCGGCCGCTCCATATGGTAAACTGTCATTGGGACAAGGCTTTACGGGTCATCCATGGGTGCCCGGGCTAGAGAAGTAGTAAGGCTTTGAGGGCACCCATGACAGGCTTAGTCTATGCTTAGTCTAGGCCTAGCTTAGGCTTGGCCCAGCCCTAGCTTAGGCTTGTTCTAGACTTAGCTTAGGATTGGGCTTAAGCCTAGGCTTGGCTTAGGTTATGCTTAGGCTGGGCCTGGCCTGGTTAGCTTAGACTTAGAGACAAGCTTAGGCCGGAAAAAACCTCCAAAAAAAAGATGCCCCCCCCAAACATCAATAGCTCCGTTTTTGCCTAAAACAAAACAAAAACAAACCTTCGCCGGCGCGTTCTCATCGTTGACCTTTGGGTTCGTCATAGCGGCGGGCTGGGAATAAAATGCCTTGCTGGTCAGCGGCGTATCAATTCGTAGCCCGGTGCTGAGGGCGCGGGGGAGGCGTAGAAAGCTTCTGGCAAACGTGCTGCCTATAAAGTATTGGGCATGAGTCAAGCCAAATGCTAGATAAGAGCTTCAGAACAAAGATTGAGGGGGATTGAGCAACGCTTGGGGGCCCTGGCTGTTGCGTCACCCTATCGCAACAGCCCAATTCGGCCAGTTGTTTGCGCGGCGCCACGTTTTCCGGCAATGGGCCAGGCGATCGGAATCGATACCGGAAGCGTTCAAAAGCAAATTACAAGCTCTTTAGCAAATCGGAACAGCGAAGGAATTCTTTAGCATACAAAATTTCAGAAACTGGTCGAAAACCCACATTTTTGGCTAGCTTTGGCTGCGTTTTTGCCAACTGTTAAAGTAAGACAGGTATCGAACCTCCGCAATAAACGGTAGATCAAAACGCAACAAAAAAATACCAAAACAATTTATTCGTTGACCAGCACGAGGTGACTAGAGAATGTTGAACCCGAAAAAGTCATCACAAAAAAGCGGGGAATATGTGAATTGGGGGGAATATAACTGTAAATATGTGCATGCGTATAAAAAACAATAGCTACATGCACCCAAAACGGCCGACAACGTTTAGCGGAAAAACGAGGTGCGCTTCAGCAGGCCCTCCAAATCTTCAACGTTTCGCGTGAATCCCTGGGCCGGCGATTCGAAGCGAATGTGCGGCAGCTGGCGGTCACGCAGCGAATGCGCGATGTAGGTGGCTACGCTCGTTTTGACCTAGAAAACCAAAATTACTTAAAAATTCAGTCGACCAAACCTTGACATGCAATTGCAATTTGTGCTCCTTCAACACTTTGACGATCTCGTCAAGCATTTCCGGCGTGGCCGGGCGATTGGTGTTGATCTTGACGCGCGCGGTTTTTATATTGTCGGCATAATGCGAGAAGGAGAGCTCGATCAGATGTTCGCAGCGTAGCTGACCCTCGTTGCAAGCGCGGGCCAGTGCTAAAGTGCTCTGTTTTGCGACTTTCAAAGCACCAACCGAGAAAAGCGCGTGACAGCAGAATTCTAATCGTCCTCGGATGCGCCTTGAAGTCACCATGGAGCAGGAATGACGATCCAAACGATTTCGTCGCGTCCGCCAGTCGACGTTGAGCGGCCAACGTTGCGATATCTTCGTATTCGTCGAGATGCTGATTGTAGTACTCGACGACGCGACGCTCTTCGGACGTCGTATCGCACTATTTTCCAATTTACGAGTAAAATTGCCAAACGTACTTCGAAGTAGTCGGCGTCAGAGGCCTTGTTCACCGAACGCCAACTCGGATCCCAGGCCTGGGGATAGTGCTTCGCGTAGATCCTCAATTTGCGGCCCATACTCGAATTGTTGGGCTGGAGCGTCAGAATGATTTTGTCGTAAGCATCCATGTCTCGTACGGACGTCTAAAACAAATTCATAAACCATGGTGACGAATTTACACTACCCCATCAATCAGGGAGCGGATGATGCCTTGCGTGTAGATGCCCTCGATTCGCGGGCGTGGCAGCGGTTGCCTGTAGTCCATGCTAACGGGCGGATTCTGGAAAGTGAATACGAGTGAGATGCGTGCGAGTGAACGAAGAATAGTTATGGTCGTTGCCTACACAGGTTCAGAAAAATTCGCAACGGCCGTCAACCGTATAAGCACAAGGTACCAGCAATCAAGAAAAAAATTTATCGAGAAGAAGGCGAAAGCAAATTAGTAGCAACTATTCGAAAAAAAGAAGTCCACGTACAAAGAAAGCAAGCAAATCAAGACAAAAATGACGTTTTCGCAAGCAAATTGTTTAGATCATCGACGCTGCTCGAATAGGTCGTGGCCGGGGAGTCAAATGGAAAATGGGGCCTTCCAGTCTCACGAGCCCATTTCGTGATATAGGTGGCGATGCTCGTCTTGACCTAGAAGCGAAAAGTAAAATGGAAAATGGCCATCGATACCTTAATGCGCATGTTCAAGCCAGCGTCCGTCAGGATCTTTTTGATACCATCATAAAGCTCAGGAGAAGCCGGTTGATTAGTGTTGATTTTGACACGATTTGACGTTGGCACTTCAGGGTACTGCGTCATCGAGAGTTCCATAATGCCGTCGCCTCCCAGACGGCCTTCGTTGCATTCCTCGGCGAGTGCTGAAATAAACACTTTGCAAACAAAGAGAACAATGAATACCTATAAAAGCCTTCGATAAGCAGTCTTGGATCACTTTCGGGTTGACAAATTTGTCCATATAAATCAGGAAGCCGCATCCGAAAGCCTTGGACGCCTCCGCGAATCGTTTCTGGCCCGCGACTGTAAGGATATCGCGGTGATCTCTGCGATGTTCGTCCCAGTACTCGACAACGCGATCAGCCTCGCGTGCGATGTCTTCCTGTATAGCAATAAGTTGCTGAGATAAAACTTGAATAAATACCCCAAAATTCACCACATCTGTGGGACGGCGTGCATCAGTTTCGGATGGAGTCCAACTCTCGTTCCACATCTTCGGGAAATGATGCGCGTAGATTTCCAGCAGCCGGTCCATCTCCGGGTCATTGGGCTTTAGCGTGAGACGCACTGATTCGAAGCCATTCACGTCGGGCACAGTCAACTACAATAACGTATCATAAAAAGGAACTCTTCCAAACAAGTAATAGAAGAAGGTAAGTTCACAAATAAAATACCTCATTGACAAAGGATCTGATGACATCTTGGGTGTAGAGCCCTTCGACTTGTCCCGGAGCACCATCGTAGCGCTGAACCACCATTATGTGGCGATGCTTGATGGGAAATGAGAAAACAAATTCTGGATCGAGCCCGGACCGCGATACGGGATACGTATCTTATCAGAGTTATTTTGTGCTCGGCTATGACCGCTATCGCGGCGGCTTTTGGGTTCGGAAAAGTTAGGCTTTCCCCAATTCCGTTTCTAATTGGCTTGAGAAGGGCCTACCTATCGAGCAGAAGTGAACGTTTTCTGCTCCTGCTCCACTTCCGATCTCCGTTGCGCATATCATCGATTTACTAAAGGTCCATACAGAACATTTAAGCCGCCGGAGTCTTGCCAAATGTACGGGATCCCCAATTATCCGGATAATGTAGCCAACGGTTGCCCACCGCTCAAAGAGCACTTCTCGCGGATCATGAACAAGACTTTATTAATAAGGGAATGTTGACAAAATAGGTAACTATTTGCGCAAAGCAAAAGCAGTGCTTTATTAGAAAAGCGGGTAAAACTGCAGAAAAAAGAAAACCAAGGAATGTTCACAAAATAAATAACATTTGTGTGTGCACAAACACAAAAACAGTGCAAAAAGCCAGTGCGGAAAAGAGATCAGCCAAAGAAAGAAGTCTTGGTGAGCAGGTTGTTCAGCTCGTCGACGCTGTTCGAGAACGTCTCAGCCGGGGAGTCGAATGGAATGTGGGGAAGCCCACTTTCACGTGCCCAGCACGACAGGTAGGTGGCGATGCTCGTCTTCACCTAGAAGTGGATGATATTTCGGTACAAACCAATAATATTACCTTAACGCTCATATTCAAATTCTGCTCGCGTAGGACCTTCTTGATTCCCTCATATAGCTCCGGAGAAGCCGGTTGATTAGTGTTGATTTTGACGCGATTTGTCCATGGGTGCGTCGGGTACTGCGTCATCGACATCTCAAGAATTCCATCCGAACCAAGGCGGCCCTCGTTACATTCTTTGGCCAGTGCTATAAATACTAAGTTGAAGGCAAGATTTTAACAAACCGATATAGGACTTCGATAGGCGATTCTGGATCTCTTTCGCATTAAGGCGTCGATCGTCGGTGTGGATCAAGAAGGAGCTTCCGTAAGCCTTGGTCGCGTCTGCCAAACGCTTTTGGCCAGCTACTCGAAAGACGTCGCGATGCTCCCTACGATTTTCCTCCCAGTAGTCGGTGACGCGCTTGGCTTCGCGGCCGATGTCGTCCTGAAACTCGGTTTTGAAAAATAGTTAATAAATACCGTGAATGTCATAACGTCCGTTGGTATTTTGTCCTCGATTTCGGATGGAGCCCACTTCTCGTCCCACACTTTCGGGAAGCAATGCGCGTAGATTTCCAGGCACCGATCCATTTTCGGGTCGCATGGCTTGAGCGTCAGGCGCACCGACTCGAAGCCATTCACGTCCGGTACTGTCAACTAAAAAGGGATCATAATAGAGGAAAAATCTATCGGCAGTTAACGGTCTACGGTCTTTCGCATTGTCTCAAGCAAAGTACCTTATCGATAAAGGATCTGATGACATCTTGCGTGTAGGCGCCATCGACTTGCAATTGGGCGCCTTCGAAACGCTGAAGCACCATTTTTTAGATGTTAGAGTTAGACGAAAAATGACGAAGACTTTTTCGGAAATTGACCAGAGGGTCGTTCCATTTGACGCCACCGTACGATTTTCGTACTTATTTGGCGCGTCGGAATCTTTTTCCGCTTTTCGCTCTCGCTTTCTTTCCAAAACATTTTTCCTTATTCTAGCCGGCATTTCGGTATTGCAGTTATTTTTGGCGAACGAGCTAATGATGTAGCCAAAGGTTGATCACCTCCCTAAGTCCCTAGACTCGACAACCAGTAACAAAAGTTTATTAATAAAATAGACATGCAAATATTTGTAAGCAAGACAAAACTCTTTTCAAACAGAACGGAATCAGGTCAAAGAAGTCCTGGCGAGCAGATTGTTGAGGTCGGTGACGCTGTTCGAAAACGTCTCAGCCGGCGATTGGAACGGGCAGTAGGGATAACCCTTGAGAGTCAGCCAGTCGGAGATGTAGCTGGCAATGCTCGTCTTCACCTAGAATTACATGAAATCATGCCCGAAAGCAAAATTACCTTAAGGCTCATGACCAAATTCTGCTCGCGAAGGATCTTCTTGATCTCCTCATACAGCTCGGGGGAAGCCGGTTGATTGGTGTTGATTTTGACGCGGTTTGTCCATGGCTGGTTCGGATACTGCGTCATCGACACGTCCATAATTCCATCGGCTCCCAGCTGGCCATCGTTGCATGCCTTAGCCAAAGCTAAAAAAAAACGGATCCCGAAGGATAGAAAGGTACCTATATAAGCCTGGGCGAGGCCTTGCTGGATCAAATGGGCAGGAAGACACTTGTCGGCGGTGTGTATCAGGAACGAGCATCCGTTCGCCTTGGTAGCAGCCGCCATGCGCTTCTGGCCAGGCACCCAGTAGATGTCGGTGAAGTCGGCACGATGCTGCTCCCAGTATTCAGTGACGCGCTTGGCCTCAAGAACGATGTCTTCCTAAAATATTTTTTGGGAGCTTTTCAAAACGATACCTTGAATGTCAGGACGGCAGTCTGCTGCTGTCCTTTGGTGTCCTCTTTCGTCCAGCTCTCGTCCCAAATCTTCGGAAAAACATGCGAGTAGATTTCCAGAAGTCGACCCATTTCCGGGTCACTTGGTTTCACGGTGAGGCGCAGAGACGTGAAGCTGTTCACGTCAGGCAGCGTCAACTAAAACATAAAAATGACGAATTCGAACGAAAATCCGAGAAATTATAATAAAGCTTTTAACTAAATACCTTATCGAGAAAGCTTTTGATGACATCTTGCGTATAGACGCCCTCGACTTGCAAAGGAACGCCAAGCGAACGCTGAATCACCATTCTTGTTAGATGTTAGCGATGCGTAAAAAATGGGGAAACGTTTTTAGCTATCCCGTAGGCCTTATGCTACCGTAACCACGAAAATTTTCAGGCTCCGTTTTGCTGCAATTGACGCTGTTCGTACTTGCCTAACTGATCGGAGCATCCATTATCGGCTTTACACCTAAGCATCGCGTTTCGAAGGCCTTTTTCTCGGCTCCGGACGGCATTCGGTACTAGAAGCATGTTTAGCTGATTTTTTTAAACAAGCGTTTGATGTAGCCAAAGGTTGATCACCTCCCCAAATTCATTATCGCCGATTTACCCAAACTGTATTTATTACTAAGCTATCGTTTAATAGATATGTAAATATTTGTACAAAGCAAAGCAAAGCCGATTTCAAGCAAAACGGAATCAAATCAAAGAAGTCCTGGCGAGCAGCAGATTGACTTCATCGATGCTGTTTGAAAGTGCCTTAATCGGCGACGTGAATGAGCACTGCGGGTAACCTCTCGAGCGTGCCCAGAACGCAAGATAGGTGGCAATGCTCGTCTTCACCTAGAACCCACTGAGGTTTTCATAGGAAAAGCCGAATCTACCTTAATCCTCATGGTCAAATCTTGTTCGATCAGGATCTTGGTGATCTCCGCAAACAGCTCGAGGGAAGGCGGTTGATTCGTGTTGAGCTTGATCCGTTTCGCCGACTTTTCAAACGGATACTGCGCGATCGACAGCTCCATGACTTCATCGGTAGCAAGCCGACCCTCGTTGCACGCCTTGGCTAGAGCTAAAAAATTGTTGTATAACGTAATTACGTTTGACAAACCGATATACGCTTTGGAAAAGCGCTCCTGCATCACGCGCGGACCAAGAGCTTCACTTTCGGCGTGGATCACGTAGGAGCACCCATATGATTTCACCGCGTCAGCTAAGCGTTTTTGGCCGGGCAGCCCAAAGACGTCCCGATGATCTCTGCGATGCTCCTCCCAGTATTCGATGACGCGCTCGCACTCACGCGCGATGTCTTCCTGAAAATAAAGTTTTATGGTTTTTAAGTAAATTTTTGCCCATAAAATAAAGTTAACAAATACCGAGAATGTTTGCACCTCCATTGGCAGATCGCGCTCGGACGCAGCCCAATCCTTGTTCCACATCCTCGGGAAGCGATAAGCGTAGATTTCCAGATGTCGATCCATGCTTGGGTCGTTCGGCTTGAAGGTGAGGCGCACCGATTCCCAGCTATAGACGTCCGACGGCTTCAACTAAAAGAATGATGAAAATCGCTTCAAAAATCTGATAAATTTAACATACCTCGTTGACAAAGGATCTGATGACATCTTGCGTGTAGGCGCCATTGACTTGCAACGGGGTGTCTCGGAAACGCTGAACCAGCATTTTTGTGAGGTAGTAGTGTTAGGTGAAAATTTAGCAATGATTTCTGATTTTGCAAAATTTTTGGTGATTCCGTTTTGTTGCAAGTGACATTTTCTGTACTTACCTAGCGTTTTGGAGCTCTTGGAAGTCGTGATTTAGTCGAATTTGCCTAATTTTCATATCCGCTTCGGGATTTGGACGTTTTTCTTCTATTCATGCGCAAATTACGTGTTGCGAGCATGTTTTCCTAAAGAATACTTTTCAAACGGTTGCTTTTGCCGTTTTATAGCGAAAGAAATGAAGCGGGAGGCAGTATTCTTGTTTCTTTTACTAAAAGTATTCCAGGGCTTCATTTAGCATCAAAAATTAGGGGATTCAACAAGATTTAAACATTTTAAACGTTTTTTTGCTGCCCGACCTTGACAGAAAAACTTTTTGGGCGAGCCGCAAATTTCGTTGCATAAAGGTGCAGAGGCGTGGTTCGGCTGCCTGCTGCCTATGGGAATTTCCGGGCGCCGAACAGCTGACTTTGCGAGCTACAAGGAAATAACAAAGTCAGCAAAGCTAAAAAGTGTATAAATTAATTTTAAATCTGTGTGTTCTATAAAGAAAAAATGTAATGGAAAGCATAGTCGTTGTATTTTATACCTTGTAGCCATAAACTTTATACAACAGAATAAAATACACGATATGCCCGATAAAATTGCGCAAGTGCACCTGTTTTTGCAGTTCAATTTTTGCAGATGAAACAATCGCATTTAATAGCTTCAATCTTTTATGTAAAAGGTATGATAATTTGTCAAAATTAAGACTGTTTAGAGAAAAAACTTTATACATCAGAATAAAATACAAGATATGCCTGATAGACTTGTTCACGTGAACCTGTTTTTTTTCAGAGATCAAATCACCACCTTCGATAGTTTTAAAACTATGAAAACTGCATGATATATTTGTAAATGGGTCTCGTCGTTGGTCGAGCCGAATCGCTAGCAGGGCGGCCATGCTTGATCGTAGTGTAATTGCTGCTTGATCTGCGAAAGATTTGTTTCCGGAGTCGTTGCGTCAGCATCGCGTAGAAGCACCAGTTCGTTGCCGAGTTCAGGTACGGCATCAGGAGCACAAACATTTTGTACCGGAAGTAGCCATTGGGGTAGTCGTCTTCGAGCTAAAGGCCGAGGTTAATAAGAGTTTTATTAGAGATTTTAGGTGTTTATTTATAAAAATTTTATCCTGGGAAGAATGGGCCGTAACGTTTTTAGTTAGATACCTACCAAATCAGAGAACCCGGGTAGGATGTGGGTCAGCCAGAAGGGCGTAGAGCTCAGGAAATGGAAGGCGGTGATGTAGAAGATGGATTTGCTGACCTAGATTGAAGAATTTTTGTGGTTTTTTAATTTGGCTGCTTTTTAAAGCGGGCTGCAAGCTTTTTTAAAATGCTTTTCTGGCTCGATTTTTCGAGTTCTTTCCTTTAAAAACGATTTTGTAAACTAATTTACCTTCTGAACCAGCTGCGTCTTCGAATTCTCTTGCATATGCGTCAAACGATATCGCTGTCGAAGCATGGCAAGTAACGATATATAGGAAAAGAGGACGATGAGCCCCGGGACGAGAAATGACACGAAGAATAGGTACCACCTATAGACCGTATTCACCACTTCCGGCATTGGCACCACGCAGCTGAAAATATTTGACGTCTTATTCTATTTTTAAATTTTCAATGAGCTCTTAAAATACCCTTCTTGACCTACTTGTGAAACTTTGTATTCTCCCCGACCACCGTCACTTGGATCTCGGCGAATTGGACGATGGGCAGCAGTAATACCAGGGAAACTGAGGATATCGTGAAGAAGATTTGGCACGCGATTTGGGGTACTGAAAATAGGCTTAGGCTTTACTTATTAGGCTTTGCTTAGGCTCGTGCTTAGGCTTGGATTAGAGCTAAGGTTAGGCTTAAGGTTAGACTTAACTTAGGCTTAACTTAGGCTTAGCGTAGGCTTAGCCTAAACAAGCTTAGGCTTGGGCTTAGGTTTAGGCTTAAGCTTTGAGTTAGAAACTCACCAATTCGTCGCTGCTTCCCGTAAACCGAACTTTTGACGATAAGGTACCTTTCCAAAGCCTAAAATTAAATAAAATTAAGTGAAAATAGGTGAGATTCTACCATTCCAGCCAAGATATGTATCGACAGTGTTTTGTTGACGACATCAGCGAACCAGAATAATTTACACGTCGTCAGCCCGTACAGCCATTCCCCGTAGTAGAGGTAGGGGAAAAAGATCGGGATTTGGATCTGAAGTGGAGTATGCGTTTGTGGTCTCTCTCGTTCTCTCTATATATCTCTCTCCCTCTCTCTCTCGCTCTCCAGTTTTGAAATTCAACTACTTACCAACACTAAAAAGTCCGTGACAGCCAGGAAAAAGACATATTTCTGGAGCGTTAATTTCCTCGAATCATCTCGTCCATAGACTTTGGTGAACTGTCGATGGGTGCTGAACGGAATAAGTGCCTTTATAGAATTTTTTAACCTTATAATCCGGTGGACGACCAGCAAATTTCCGCTGATCCCCACCAAAAAACAGAGTGCGAAGCTGAACATCATGAAGGAGATCTCGAAGGGGAACGCGGCGATGCCCATACCGTATTCCGTTGGGGAGAGGTTTCGCAATCTGGAAAAGTGGCTTACACTTAGGGCTAGACTTAGGTTTTGGTTTAGGCTTACGCTTAGGTTTAGGTTACGACAAATTCAAAATTAATATTTTGTAGCGAACGCCGGCTTCCATAGAACAAATTTCGGATAAAAGCCAAAATGGGGGATTATCGGATGCGTATGTGTTCATTGTATCCCATTGTCTGTTTCGCGTCATAATGTTTTTCAAAGGCGCCTAATGGGGGGCGAGACGCACAGAATGGCACACGCTAGATGCATAATTATACGATAATTATGCAATATTTTAGATATACCTTCATTTTTGTATTTTGTATATTATTTAGCGTGTAAAGTATACAACGTTTAGGCAAAATGAGTAGGGAACTCGCAGGAAATGAAAGTGGTGTAACTAGAGGATTCGAAGTTCTCTCGCTCTCTCTCCCTCTCTCTCACTCTCTCGCGCTCTCTCTCGCGCTCTCTCTCGCCCTCTCTCTCGCCCTCTCTCTCATGCTCTCTACTACCTCTCTTACTCTCTCACTCTCTCTCTCTCTTTCTCACACACTCTCTCTCTCTCTCTGCCTTCTAGGTCCGGAAATCCGGATTTAAATTCCGCAACGACATAATAGTGATGTTTCGAATTTCCCAAAAATAACCCAAACTTCCAACTTACTGCAAATCACTCAGACTCGACATCGGGATGTAGTCGTCACGTACGGGCGGGCTAAAAATTATTTAAAGGACCGTGAACGTTAAAATTACCTAAATTCCGCCACCATCCTCTCCAGCTCATCGTACGATATGTTCAGCGTCATCCTGGGGGTGTTGATCTCTAGAAAACTCGGGTCGAAGCCGTTGATGAACATCTTTAGGGAGGGGTTCGAAGGAGTTGAAGGCAGAGAAAATTTCCGGCAAAAGAGGAAGGGCTTTTGGAATTTTTCGAGGGGGAGGGGGCAGTCCAGCAGGGGCCCGGATTACCGTGGGCCGTCGAAAATGTATGCGGGAACGGCTTGGGGAAACTTTAAAAGCAGAAGATGATCCCGAAAATGTGACTAAATGGTTTAGGAAACCGGCTTGGACGCTTTTGAGTGGGTGCACGCGGTATTGTTTCGTACTAAAAGAGGACTGGTTTCGTACTAGAAGCGTTCGCTTGCAGAAAGCTTCTATTGACGAAGCCTCCTAAGCCTTACCTAATCGAAGCCTAATCCTAAGCCTAAGCCTAAGCCTAAACCTAGGCTTAAGCCTAAGCCTAAGTCCAAGCCTAAGCCTAAGCCTAAACCTAAGCCTAAGTCCAAGGCTAAGCCCAAGCCTGAGCTTAATAACGTCATGATATTAGAGAATTACGTAAGGCGTTCGCCAGGCTGAAAATTTGCTATTGACCAGGCCTCCGGTCCAAAATAGACGGCCGATGCTGAATAAATCCGGGGTATCAGATTTCGAGGGCTGTTTCCCCGAGGCAGAAAGCTTTTAGGGAAACGGTCAAGCTTCAGCCTAAGCCTTGGCCTAAGCCAAAGCCCGACCCTGAGCCTAAGCTTAAGCTTGAGGATAGTTATGTGTTTGTGTTCAAGGACAGCTATGCCTTTTATACCCTACAGCTTCATTAAACCGTGTATCCGAAAACACAATTAATGGGTGTTACAGAAAAACCCTGTTATTCAAATTATAATTGTCGGGGGAGCCGTGATAAATGGTCCTTTAGGGCGAAACAAGCAAAAACAGCAGATCCTTAGGGATAGCTTGAGCGAGACAGAGAGAGAGAGAGAGAGAGAGAGAGAGAGAGAGAGAGAGAGAGAGAAAGAGAAAGAGAGAGATAGTAACCGTGTTTTTCGAAGGTGACTAAACGTTTGCAAAGCTGACTAGGGAAGTCCAAGATACCCGCAACACGAATCGGGCTGAAAATTTGCACAGTTATAGAACCGACCATGCTGATCATCGCCTCGTTTTCCGAATTTGCTACCGAGCTTAAATAATGAAGTTATTAAACTTTTAAAATGGGCTAAAAACCCGCTACCCTGATCCTGGCTCACTAGAGCGGGTGGGGTTCAAGAGGCCTTTGGGAAGCCCCCTTTCCAGAGCTTCGGTAGTCGACTGGTAAGCGCCTCGCTTCCCAGGTGGAGAGTCCGGGTTCGGATCCGGTCCGTGCATTTTCTTGCTTTTGCTAATTTTGCGCCGCACATGTGGCGCGTGTCCAGATTGTGTTTTTACTAACGCAGATGAGCCGGTTGCTGCCGTCGAATTACGGAATACCGGTTTTAACAATTTTTACTAGTGTTGTTTTATGAACTTTTTCATAAATTTATGACTTCGTTGAATTTCATTTCTAGGATGTACGTAAATGAGTGTGCATAACCCAATCTGGACACGCGCCACATGTGCGGCGCAAAATTAGCAAAAGCAAAGAAAATGCACGGACCGGATCCGAACCCGGACTCTCCACCTGGGAAGCGAGGCGCTTACCAGTCGACTACCGAAGCTCTGGAAAGGGGGCTTCCCAAAGGCCTCTTGAACCCCACCCGCTCTAGTGAGCCAGGATCAGGGTAGCGGGTTTTTGGCCCATTTTAAAAGTTTAACTTAATTATTTAAGCTCGGTTGCAAATTCGGAAAACGAGGCGATGATCAGCATGGTCGGTTCTATAACTGTGCAAATTTTCAGCCCGATTCGTGTTGCGGGTATCTTGGACTTCCCTAGTGAGAGCTCTGCAAGGAAAACAGAAAAACGGCTCTCGTAGAGTTGCAAAGTCGCGCCCTCAAAGCTAGTGATTTCGTCAGTTTTAGAGCGTCCGGCTAGCGTGCGGCGTAGATGAGGCATTAATGGCAACTCAGTTATATGTGCAGTTGTATTACTGCTAACTGATAACTTGAAGATGTGAATCGCAGAGTTCAAATTTTTTGAGATCGACTTGCACTTCCGGACCTCAGCATGGCACGATATCTCTACGCTAAAGTCGACATCTCCAGGCTGTGATTTTCAGGAATCGAGTTCCACTTGCTACAGTAGGCACCAAATTCCAGTTTTGCACCATGAATTATGATAGTGCAGGGGGTCCCCGGTGGGTTGAAGAAGACGATACATGAGAGAGAGAGAGAGAGAGAGAGAGAGAGGAGAGAAAGCGAGAGAGAGAGAAAAACAGACAGACCGACATACGGACAGAGGGTGAATAAACATGTTGACGCTATCACAAATTCAAGAAGAATGATGCCTCCATGAGGTGTCCCAACCCAGGCCATTTTTAGGAAATTTATTTGGTGCCCTCGGGGGCCAAGGGAGGAGGGGAAGAAGGGCCAGGGCCCTTCCTTCCCTCCGTGGCCCCTTCTGTGTCCATGTGGGCAAACGAATCGGAAATGAGCTCGATTGCGCGCATTGTTGCGGCCGATGGGGTCGCGGTGGTGGACACGACGGGGGGAATTCCCGTAAAAAACAGCGTGGTTTGACGTTTTTTCGGCAATGGCACGAAGCGGGAACTAACCTCACAAGGTTGAAAAGTGCTAGAGTCAACGTATTCAATCGAAGAGGAATTCGAAACCATGTAATACAAAAATGAGCTGAATAGCGCAGTTAAAGGGACCATGAAGCGTGAGACTTTAACGTTGATCCGACTAAGTCTCGAAAGCTCTATGCAACGCGAAAGCATGCGTTTAAGAAGCGACAATACGCGTCCTTGCTACTTCTCTGGGTCTAGTCAACTGAAAGCGTTTTTCCACTTCTCAGCCCCTTTAAAACGGAGGTGACCTGGTTTAGTCCGTCTTGCAGCAATACTCTCTAGCTTTGTTATGCCAAAACATCGCCGCAGGGCCCTAATGGATGTGCCGAAAAATGGGCCTAGCAACGAGAGAGCATGATTTAGCATCCAAATCTATGGTCAAAACAGCCTCCAGGGTCGCGTGATTCGCAAAATTGGAAGCGAAGTGAGATTGGCATTTCTGGTCAGGGCAGCAGACCGCCGGTGCTTGATAAAAAATTCCGGAAAACTTCCGGAAAAAACTTGTAAAATTTTTCAATTCGTCTGATTGGCTGGGTCAGTGAATTCCAAATTCTCATTTTTTTACAAAAAAGGGGAAAATGGGTCACGACGTCAATGAGGTGAAGGCCTCGAAAACAGTTCAATTCCCGGAAATTCATCGGGGTAATCAGTGGAAAAGCCCGCAAACGAGGAGCAAAACACAGCAACTTAAGCCCGAGCTTAAGCCTAACCTGAGCCAAGCCAAAGCCTAGGCGAAGCCCAAGCCTAAGCCTAAGTCAAGCCTAGGCGAAGCCTCAAGGCACAATCCGCGCCTAACTAGGGAGGTCCAAAATACCCGCAACACCGATCGGGCTGAAAATTTCTACACTTATAGAATCGACCACGCTGATATTTGCCTCGTTTTCCGAATTTGCTACAGAACCTTAAAATTTGAGATATTAAAGTTTTAGTGTCATTTTTGGGTCCCGGGGAAGGGGTTTGTCAGGATACTGAGCTTTTTTGTTTGTATTTTTCTAGTTATTTTAAATAGCCTATCTGATAGCGAATTTTTTTCTGATCCGAATGGTATATTTCCCTAATGCACAAAGGCCCTGGACGCTATCCTACAGCTGCTTGAAGTAGGCTGTTTTCTACCATTTCCCTTAGTAAATGCGGAGTCCATACCAAGTATCGTCAATTTTTCCAATTTTTTGGGTTTTCGAAAATTTTGAGTTAGATGGCTCATTCGAAAGAGAAAATTTTTCTGAATCCGATGGCGATGCTTGTTTTTCGGAAATCTGCCAAAAAGGTCAAAATAATCGAGTCCGAAGTTCGGCAATTTTAACTAAAGAATCGACTTAAAACTTTAATATCTCAAATTTTAAGACTCTGTAGCAAATTCGGAAAACGAGGCGATTATCAGCGTGGTCGATTCTATTAGTGTACACATTTTCAGCCCGATCCGTGTTGCGGGTATTTTGGACCTCCCTAGTAAGACAAGCGTAAGTCTAAGCATAAGCCTAAGCCAGGCCTAAGACCAGCCTAACTCTAAGCCTAAACCTAAGCCAAAAGCCTAGGGTAATCCTAAGCCTAAGCTAAGCCTAAGCCTAAGCCCAAGCCAAAAACTACATACCCCATGGGGCCTATTCCCGAGAGAATAATATGCTCTTCTCATCTGGTTGCCACCCATTCAGTACCCCCGGTGAATGAACGACCGGCCACGTCGACGCCCTCACCCACAAAAAAATCCAGTTGTTTTCGGGCATGCCGCGGCGGGGGTCCCGAGACGAAAGGGAGAGACCGAAGAGCCCGAAAATTATGCCCCTACGTCGAACATAAAAAATGGGATTCCGTTTTGATGGGGTGGAATGGATGGGGGGGAAGACAGGTTCTAGCAAAAAATCTCATCTTGGTGCATAGGCAAGGCCCCGGATTCAAAATTTGGGTTTTCGGAACCGGATACGGTAGGGGGTTCAAATTTTTGGCCGTAAAGTCCGGAAGGCAGTCTAGGCATCTAAATGCCTTTAAAATTCGGCAAATGGTTTTTATGAGCTTCTAAAGACTAAAATCCAGACGTCGTTTACACCAGAAACCCAAATTCTGCAAGGTTTATGCCCTAGAAAGCTAATCAGAAAATGTTAGGCAACTGCTACATGACAAAAGATCAGCTCCGCGGTAGTGCTTAGCGCTTAGTAGTGATGGGGTTATCAAATCAAATCCGGGATCAAATCTCAGGATTTGATAAGCTCCGTTCTTATTCAAATCTCCAAATTTTGCATGCAAAGAGTAAAATGTATCATTTCTTATGCTTCTGCGCTGAAAAAGCCCTTTGGTGCTTGCATGCAAAATTGGAGATTGAATGAAACGGAAGCACAAATCTCAGATTTGATCCCGGATTTTCACACTGCGCTTAGTGCTTAACTATAGGCGCTTAGCGTAGCTTTCCCGAAGTTGGGGGTTACACAGGGCTTCATCGGACAGTAGATACCTACGTCTGTCTCTGCACTTTCTTATTACCGCCCGAATTGATGACTTTAGAACTTGAAAAGTAAAAAAAACCTGCTGTAGCGTAATAACTAACGCCTGAAGCGTAGAATCCTCATATATTCAGCAGTTGTTTTTGTTGTTTTCTACAAAAAAATCTGCAAACACACGCCCTGCCCCTGACTACCATCATCTTATTTTGGCCCCAAAAGACGTTCCTATTTTCCCCGATTCCATTTCGATGGCAGAACGGGGCTGGGCAGGGCGACCAAGATGTGGGGTGTATTTTCCGTTGCTTTCCGTATTCCCGTATTTGGCATGCCATCCGATTTTCATCAGGCTTGCCTAGAGGACGCGAGGGAGGAGACCGACTGCTCCGGGTAAGCCCGAAAACATTTCCATCACGCCCCAAATGACAGCCCGAAAACCGGGGAACGCCTCGGAAAATTAGGTTACAGGATTTAAGGGTCAAGAAATTGAGAGAGAAGCCTAGGTTTCCGGTTTCGGCATAAATTACAGCCAATCAGGCCAGATTTTTAGGGCCTCAAAAACACAAACGGATTGCCCTGGGGAAACAAGGGCGCGGACCTTAATTTTTGGCTGCGCACTGTCTCTCGTCTCTCACCCTCTATCTCTCTCTGTCTCTCTCTTTCTCTCTCTTTCTCTCTCTTTTCTCTCTCTCTTTCTCTCTCTCTCATCTCTCTCTCTCTCCTACCCGGTTTTTTAGGGCCCTTATGCTTGATTTTCGACAAATTGAATAACAAGACACCTCAGGGAATTCGGAAATTGTTTGGATAGGGTACTGTAGCTCATAATTTGTGAAAGCTGATGGAAAACACGCAAATTTCTCCTGAACGGGTACTGTAGCCACTTTTGCTTAATTGAATAATTTGTTTTGACCGGGTAGTGTAGGACTGAGGCGAAGTGCTAGAAAAGAGAGGGGGGGGGGGGGGGGGGGGGGGGGGGGGGGGGGAGGGGAAGGGGAGGAAGAAAGAGAGAGAGAGAGAGAGAGAGAGAGAAAGTAAGAAAGGGAGAGCTAGGGAGAGAGTGAGGGTTAGACTTGCCAATAACCAAAAAGTCTCTAGATCCAATGAAACTAGATTTTTCGAAAACGCCAAGAATTCAGGATTATTTTGTCTAACAGCAACCTGTAAAAATAGATGCCACATAACGAAACGACGCCCTGTGACTTCGCAGTCCCTTTAACGCAGTAGGTTTGCGAAATTTTGCTACTCAAGAACCGGAAGTTACAGATAGAGGTATCCCTCAATTTGAGCATCCGGAAAACAAAAACCTTAAGTTAAACCTATTCGGAAACTGACCAAAATGAGTGCGAAGCTGCACAGAATATCCATCCGTCTAAGCAGCCCCCAAAATTGACTTTTAGATCCTGGTGGAGGAGGAGGAGGAGCTGAGACAGGAGAGACCGGATTTCTTAGTCTGAATGGCCATCCGGGATGGCGAATCTTAATTTTGGGGTGGTGGGGCCCGATAGGCAAACAATCCGGCTTCACGGCTTCTAGCGATCCGCTCCCGGATAGCCGGACCTGGCACGGCAAAGATACCCTGGGCCAGAGATCTTTTCTCCCTTTCTGGAGGTGTAAAAATATAGAAAGGGCAACAAGGATTCCTTAATTTCATGACGTAACCGGTGGTCAGTACGAATGTTTGGTTGGTGCCTGAGGAAAGTGCTGTTTTGGGTGAGCACGAGCAGAGGAGCCTGAACCTCAGCCTAAACCTAGGATAAAGCCTAACTAGTAAGCTTAAGTCTAAACCTAAGCCTAAGCCTAAGTCTATGCCTAAGTCTAAGCCTCAGCCCGAGGTAAGCCTATCCTAAGCTGAACCTAAGCCTAAGCCTAAGCATAGGCCTGAGCATGAGCCTGATTCACATCAAGTACCGTAATCACCTCGAAAATCGGCCCCTAAAACGCGGACCAATCAGCCAGAAAGCTGACTTTTATGTCCCCGATCTCTTCCAGCCTTCCCCGGATCTATTTTTCCAGGAAATCACAGCCTGAGGCACTAATTCCGTATAGCTACTCTCCCACCCTTGAGAACAATTTTTGTATAGCAAATACCAATGGGGGCGTTGGAACACTCCCACAGCTTTCTGACTCAATAAAAACACGTTCAAGGCGTTCAAAGCACGAGCTTCGTGCCGGGAGCCTGGGAAGAATTTTTGGGGTGTTTTTGAGGCGGCGCTCCCGGAAGTATGATTAGTGCACTTATGCCCTTTGAATAACAATGCGCAGGTAGTAAGTACTGTTTATGCGGAATTGGAGCTAGTAACTATCATAATTTTGATGATTGATTGGTGCGGTAATTCAAATAACAATAAGCAAGAATAAGTACCGTTTATCCCAAGGTATAGAAATTTGATTTTCCGAGAAAATGGTATGTACAAATTTGAGCAGAATGCACAAAATAGGATCTTTAAAAATTTCGAGAAGCAAAGACAATTTCTTGATATTTTGAACATTTTGTGGAACTGATGTTGAAGCGAAGCAAGTGGAAGCACAAAAAAGAGCATAAAAACAAAACTTGAGCCTCTGTTCGCCCAGTAATTTGAGAAAAATATGAAATTTTTCTAGGTCATCAAAAGGGTGAAAAGTAGAGCTTGAAAATGATAAGAAAAACAGTTTTAGTCCCGGTACAGCGGATTTTGCATCAGGTAGGCGCATTCGCTGTCGCTTCTCCCCAGGATACGGTGGCCACCGTAGCTGCCGTTGGATGAGCCGGACTGACGGGATTGGGCACGGGAAGAGTGGCGAGAGTTACTAAAACAGGTCGGGTTATCGCGTAGAAGCCTAAGCCCAGAGCTATAAGCCTAATCCTAATCCTAAGCCTAAGCTTATGCCTAAGACTGCCTAAGCCTAAGTCTAAGCCTAAGACTAAGACAAAGCCCGAGCCTAATCCTAACCCAAGCCAGATCCCACTACCTGCTATACCGATCCGGGTACGCCGGTTCAAAGGTGACGGTCTCGACGTAGGGGCTGACTGGACGACCATCATAGATCGAGACTAGCCTCTTTTTGGTGGTGATCTAAAGGAGACTTTCAGTTGCTCTCTCCCTCTCTCGCTGTCTCTCTCTCTCTCTCTCGCTCTCTACCTACCTTCTTCAGCGGCACTCCGTTACTTCCAACACTTCCATTGCTAGCATTGCTCCTCGGCGAGATCGGGCCGGATCTGATCGATCTTGGGGAGATCGAGCGGCGCTCTGGGGCTTCCACCGTAAGCTCGTCTAAAAAACAAGGATTATGGTCTGGTTTTTAGAAGTGGCCAGGAAAGACGGGCTGACGGTATACCTCCATAATAGTAGCTCCGCGGGCTCCTGGGGCTCCTCGGGGATGGGGTGTTCTTCTTCAGCTCGATTCGCGGGATCGAAAGGGGTCTCAGGGGTTCGACGGGTCGCAGTAGGTCTATAAGTTGATCGCTTGTATATCTGTTTCTTTCTCTCTCTTACTCACTCTCTCTCTCTCTCTCTCCCACTCTCTCTGTTTCTCTCGCCCGGGTCCTTTTACCTACCAGAATTAGCCAATTCCCCCACGGGCATAACTGGAGATACCGGCGAGACGGGTCGGACCGGCTCGGAGGGCTGAAAAAACGTACATTGGCTATTTTGGTCGTTAGTACGTTTGGCACGTACGTATACGTATACTACGGTAGTTTTGCAGGTCTCAGGTCCCGCAGCGGGATTTTTAGTGAGGCACACCCTTTATTTGAGGCCGGTATGGGACCCAAATAATCCAGCGCATCGCCAAATACACAGTCATGGGAGAGGAATGTAAGAAGTTCACCAGAAGACTAAGGATTTTTGAGCCAGTACTCTGAATTTTGAAGCTCTCAATTCGAGCAAGGTGAGCTAGGCAAGCCAGCAGAGATTCTTTAGGAATTTGGCAAGTGGCGCTAAGCAATATTACGTTTGCAGAATTTTAGAAGGCCTAAGTTTTTTCCAAAGATCAAAAAGCGTTTTTGGAGTTTGAAGCCTGGATTTTTAAGCTCGCAAGTCAAGCTATTGAAACCAAGCAAGCTAGCCGAGTTTCTTTGGGAATTTCTGCGCAAATTTGAGCATTAATATTTCGGCAAAATATGATGAAAAGCCTCAGAATGAGATGTAGTACGCAGCGTTCCAACTAACACCTAGCAGCCACCAGCTCGGAACTACACATTCCAGTCTTTCACAGGTTTGCCACTTGTTCTTGCTAAAATTGACTAGCTGGCGAAAGAGAGAGCGAGAGAGAGAGAGCGAGAGAGAGCGAGGGAGAGAGAGCGACACTAGCACCCGGGCACTGTTCAGGGTAAATAGTCAACCGGCAAATAGTCCGGGCCCTACCTAGCCGGGGTGTACTCCTGGAAAATCGAGGATTGGGTATTGATTTTTGGGTGGATCTTTGAAATAAAACATCAGGTGAGAGAGAAGCGAGCGAGAGAGAGAGAGAGCGAGCGAGCGAGAGGAGAGAGCGAGCAAGAAAACTTACATTTTTCTCAATTTTCACAACAATATCGCCATTCTCATCGCGTCCGTACGTCCGCCGCTCGGTGTACTGCTTGGAGCTGACCTGGCGCTCGGGCTGGAATGAAACGTTGATTATTTTACAAGCCTTAAACGGATTAGATCGGTGTTTTTGCCAAGCTTTTGTTAAAGGACCGATCTTACCTCTGTAGTATCGGTTCCGTGAATTTTCCGCTCGTACGTCTCAATGGTGTGCGATTCTTCGGAGCCGATTTTCTGAAAAACGAAGTCTTGTTGTCATGTTTTTACGATACAGTATCTATCAACAAATAACCCTTAAAAACACTACTTTTCCGATTTTATATATGCATTAATGACGTACAACTCCTCGGAAAATCATCGCCAGCTTGCTAACTTTCTAGAACTGATCGGAATGTTTCCTGGCGGCTCTCTGCTAGTTTTCTGCTTTCACTGCCCCTCGCACTTGCTCTCTCTCGCTCGCTCTTCTTCCCATTCTCCCTCTCTCTCTCTCTCCCTCTCTCTCTCTCACGCTACAAGAATTAATCAAAATCCAACCTGAAAAGTGCCTCCCGAGTACGGTCGAATCTCGTCCATTGTCATCTAGTGTTAGCCGGGCCGTTCGTCAACAGTTGTTACGAGTAGTCCACACAATTTCAAGGCGTGTGGGCAATTGGCAGCGTGGAGGAGAAGCCGGGTGGCACAGCGGCAGCGACTTCTAATCCAACCGTTTGCCCTCGTCGATCCCCTCGCACACAGACACACCCACACACACGTGCAAAACGATGGGCAAATAGAGGGAAGATCGACTGGGGCATGGAGAGAGAGAGAGAGAGAGAGAGAGAGAGAGAGAGAGAGAGAGGGAGAGAGCGAAGATAGACTAGGCGCTAGAATACATCAGGATAGGCAGGAATACCAAAAATTATCGGTAAAACGGATTGATTGGACCTTTATAATTCGTATAAAAACGATATAGAGAGAGAGAGCAAGAGAGAGAGAGAGAGAGAGAGAGCGCGAGAGAGAGAGAGAGTGCGGCGACCTGACCATGCCCGGCCTTGTCAAAGCGCGGGCCATTTTGAGGGCCCGTCAGCGGGCCCTCATGGGACGTGTCGCTGGCAAGTGCCCGGCACTACAGGAAGGCAGCCTTGGACATAGTCCAAAGGCCACGCGGAACTGGTAGAGCTGTGGCTTTGACGAAGCCTACGCTTAAGCCGAGGCCTACGCGTAAGCCTATGCCTAAGCCTAAGCCTAGACCAATCCAGGTCAAAGAAACGAAGAAAAATAGCAGTTATTTTTAAGAAAACTCGAATATCCAATATCAGATGATAGATTTTAAAGGGGCTAAAGGGTGTCGTCTCTAGCCGCTTACGGAAAATACTGTGCGTTTCCAGTTTTCATAATTTCTAGATTGAAATTTTTCGGTATTTTCTAGATTTCTAGAAGCCTAAAATCAAGCTTAATCGTAGCCCTGTTATTAATCGAGGCTTTTATTTACATACGAAGCCTACCGTTGTCGAACAAAAACGAGAAAAAAATTCGACTGGACTTGCACAAATGCAGAAAATCAAAAAATCTTGCCCCAACAGGTTTAAGGCAAACGGCTAAGAATTTAGCTTCAGAAAAAATGTCAGTACGTTTACGCTTACAGTAATCCCGTAAGAAAGGTAAGAAATTTCAGAGAATCTTGCTTCAGACATCCTTAAGAAAATTCCGAATCCGTCTTGCCCTACAGAAATCCCAAAACGCGGAAATTCGCGTGGTATCGCGTGGAAATGGTGTCCAAACAGGGCACTGAAGGTGGGGAGGGGGGGGCGACAACACTTTTTGCGCGGGGCCGCCTGTGCGTGTTGGACACCGGCACCGGATTGTGTGGCCCTCAAGGGGGACACGGAAAGGAAGCAAGATTCCGGAGGGTACTCAACTAGGGAAATGTCCGGATATGGCATTCGATGAGGAGGGAAGGGAGGTGGAAGGCAGAATATGGCACAACAAGCTTCGGGCCGGGGGACTTGGTGATTGGCCACTAATCCGGAAGCAGCGCATCCGGATAGATAGGACCTTTATGATCTGGAGCTCCACAACAGGTTGAAGAAGCAGCTCGACACGATCAAGCAGTACAAAATATATCAATAAGAAAAGTTTAATAATGAATTAGTGTGAATTTTGGTAAAATAGAAGTATAATAATGTGTAAATTTGTATAATTAAAATTAAAAGACTCCCACTGCAAGCAGGGGAGTTAAACGAGCCGAAGCCCGCGGAAATCCCACGAAGGGACTGAACTCGCAAGCGAGCGTAAACCGGCTAAGCGGTTTGAACCAAACCACAAGGGAATGGCGGGTGCTCTATATAGAGCTGAAAGAGAATATAAAAGGATGGCCTGTTTCGACCCTAAACCAAGACAGGCTGAGTAACATCAGGTGGGCTCCTCAGTTGGATTCCTGATGCTCCTAGTGTAAGATTGAAAGGTAATATAGAAGAATGGAGAAAAGAATTTTAGTTAATTTAGAGTGTGTGTAGAGTGCAATGCGGCCAGACGTTCAGCAGATGTCGCTATCAGACGCGCCCAGGGCAGTGTCAGCCAAGATAGTTGTTGTCCAGGTTATCAGGGGAACCATAGTATTGCTTACTTTTTCTATTTTTAATCATTTTTAGTCCAAAACACTGACTTTATTTATGTTTATAAAAATTGTCTATTAGTGCCTCAATCCCTCTCCAAACCACCCCGCTATAGCGCGCCCTTGCCTGTTTCCATCGCGTAATCGAAAATGTTGGGAGCCAAAAAATTGGCGAAAAGCTCCAAATAACTTTGTTTTTTTTTGCTGGTCACCCAATTTATTATCGAAAGCCTTAATCTGATTGTTTAGAAGATGCCACAGCCCGACATTGCCAAAATCGCCATGTGCCTATGGGAAGGGCTCGAGGATCTGGGCCCGGAAGATAGCCGCCCGGTTCTTGGGGATGAGAAAGTGATTCTGAGGGAGCGGAGAGAAGCGATAAAAGCGTAAGTTTATTGTATAAAATTTAATAAGCGGCTAAACAGATATTTTGTGATTTAAAAGTGAATTATCTGTGTGTTTTTTTCAGGGAAGAAGCCTCGTTCGCCGCCTCATATTTGGCGCAAGAAATCGACGAGCAGCTGGACTTGAAGATGATTGTGTGTTTTTGAAGGATAACTTAATTTTTGGTTTGATAGAAGGATATAACCTTTATTTTAGTTAGACTACCTCGACGCGATAACCTACAAGAAGTATCACAAGCTCGTGAGGTATGCAACGATTGGCACTCAAGGAGAAGGAGCGGTAAGTTTAGAGTCTAATACCTTTTAATAGATTTTTAGAAGCATGAACTTCCTATTTTCTGACTTATTGAAAGTATCATTTTTAGGGAAAAGCCTACACGCTGCGCGCCGAATTCGAAGAGCTCACCGGTGCCGGAAATGCCGTCACAAAAGCCACCGCTCAAATCGAGGCCGCGAAGAATCTGATGATCATCGCCATCAAGCAGAACCAGGATCAGATGTTCGAGATAAAAGGAGCCACCAAGGAGGAGAAGCTAAAATTTGTGTGAGTTTTTGAATTTTTGAAGTAAAGATTGATCAGGGGTTTTTTAGGGTGAAAATGATGTTTTGTCATGCGAATATTTAGCTCATTTGATAGAGCTGAAAATTCTGAACAATTCTTAGCTTTCAAAAAGCACTGAACATGAACGTATTTGAGAAACAGGTACTTACAAGTGGGGGCACTTTGGGCACTTATTAGGGGACACTTTTTTTATCCCTTTTTGGAGTCTATCTGGGGTAGTTTTTGGCGCTGAGTGCATAGAGAGTAGCCACAGCATGCGAAATCGTCGGGTTTATCCAGAAGAACCGCGTTAAAATTTTTTAATAAAAAGTGTATATGCAAAATTTGAGGCTTGCCGCATTGTCAGGAAGGGGGCCGTCGCTTCGGATGGGTGCCGCTCCACTCTTTCGAAATCGGGGCGCCTGGCCGCTTCCGCGCCTCGGGCCCCGATTTCGAAACCCTGTACAGCTCGCACCCATCCAAGCGATAGGCCCCAGGTGGCACGAAGCCTATTTTTAGGTTGATACCGTGTCTGCATCTCTAAATCTTAACAAACGTTTAGATAAGTGTATTTTACTACTCTGATTTTGTTATATTCGAAACCAACACAAAACTAGCCTAGAAAGACTCAAAAATCGAAAAAAAGTGCCCCCAATTGATAGTACGGAAACATGCTCGCTTTTGCCCATTTTTTTTGCTTTCGCTTAACAAAAGCTAATTTTAAGAAAGTTTTTCTCGAAGCCCGTTGTTTTTCAGCAATTTTTGAATCGGGAATCTGTTCAGAATTTCAAGCTTTGTTAAATGAGCTATATATCACATCGAAAAACGTCTTAATCATCATAAATGAGCTTTTTATTATTCATTTTGTAACGCTATTTAATGTCCGATTTTTAGCGAGGATCTCTACGAAGCGCAAATGGAGGAGCACCTCGCCGTCCCGAATTATAATGGCCAAATCTTGGAATTGTAAGTTTTCAAACTTTTCTATAGTTTTTTAAATTTTTAGGTGCAAAGATCGAGCCCTACAAAAACAGCCCACGTACACCTTTCAATTCGCCGGGATGTCGCCGAATCAGTCCCACATTGCCGTTTGCCACTTGGTGAGTTTTAAAATACCTTTTTACTTAACTTATAGTTTTTAGTTTATATTTATGTTGCGCAATTGAAAAAATAATGTAACCTTTTTCAGCCGGATGGCGAGACCCTGACCAGCATCGTCAAGGGCAGCAAGAAGGACGCGAAGGCAAATGTCGCAAGAAAAGCTGCGCATTATTTGAAGAGGGTAGGATTTTCAATTATAGTTTTTTTTGAGCTTTTAAATGACTCTAAAGCCTAGAAATGGAACGTAGAATTTTGTTTCGTAAAAAATTTTTAGCTTTTTTAGTGGCTCAAAGAAATGGACGACGAGCTCGGGGATGACGATGTGACCGAGGCCCCGAATTCGAATGCGGGAAGTGTAAGTTTTTCTATCGTTTTTCTTTTAGCTTTATTTTTAAGTTTTTTATAAAATTCTTTTTGTAATATTCGTAATTTTATATATTTTCATATTTCATTTTTTTTCAGGGCTTCGCGAAGGTCGGCCAATTCAACTGGGGCAACGCGATTGCGCGTTTTGGTGAACGTCTGAAGGAGAAGAAGGTGAATGAATTTATCGAGAACAATTTGGAGGAATAGTTTTTATATTTTTGTTTGCAGTTTTGTATTTTTTTGCATACTCCTCTTCTGTCCGTGTATTCAAGTTTTTTCTATTGTCATTTTGCCATTTCCCCCCAGTATTTTTCGATTTTCTGTGATATCCGATCTCTAATTCTGACTGTACGTTATCTGTGTTTTTTTGGCTAATTCCTCACCTGTGTCTTCAAAAACTAACTGACTTGGTGCTTGTATGAATCGTGTATTTCTAGAAAAGAAATGAAAATTGTCCTTGTTAATACAAAATATATTCCTACGGATTTATTGCAGAAAACGGAGGTTTGGAATGTATTGAAAAGTGAGAGGAGAAGAAGGAATAGATAAAACATCTGGAAAATTTGGTAAAATCAGCAAACGGTCTGCTTCCTCGTCGCGAGGTAGTCGCGGATTCCGGGCAGGGCGTGTATTCTGGCGATCATTGCCTAAATAAAATTTTTTTTTGGTTTTATGGGATTCCTGAGTTCTGGCTGTTTCAACTTTACTTTGACTTATTTAGCTTTTTTGAAGGTTTTTTGAAATTCAATCGTCTGTCTATTATTCTTTCATTAACGAGACGAGTAATTACTCTTTAAGCGTTACTAGGCAACGGCCTTGTGATGGCGTAATCGATAAAACTTTTTTCGTTGGTGGTGAGGCTCGCAAGACTTGCCTGGATGTGAGGATAGGCCTCCAGCGAGTCCTTCTCGCCATAATCGACAAGCTTCACGAAAGACTCGGCGGCGAACACCTCGACCCAGGTTTCCTAGAATTTTTTGATGATTTGGTAGTTGTATTTCTATTTTGAAAACTATAAACTATAAGCTTAAAGTACAGCTTATCTATACCTTATCCCCAACGAAAAGCCCGTTATTTCCGTTGTCGAGCAGCAACTTTTCGACAAGCGGCGCGTACTTGTCAATCGAGGGGCGGACCTTGTCCTTGAAATAGTCGCCCTGAACACAAGAATTGTAACTTTATAACGATTTTAGACAGAAATTTCGGCTTTTAAAAATTTGATCAGCTACCTTATCACCCTCGACGCGGCCCATCAGTAGATAGGGCCATTGGGCGACGCCTGGGGAGTTGTTGAAAGCTTGGACCACCTCGGCGACCATGTCGAGACGAGCGTTTTCGACATTGTTCTTGCCGGTGAGGCCCGAAATGGGGGAGATTTAGCTCTCTCTCTCTCTCTCTCTCTCTCTCTCTCTCTCTCTCTCTCTCGCTTTCTCTGACTCACCGAATTCTCGTCCCAAAAATCGTAGGATCGCTACAGATTCGCCGATTTTCACGCCGTCGACCTCAAGTACAGGCACTTGATAAAGTGGCATGTCTGGAAAAGGTAGAGTACCATTCTACTTGTCTGCCTCTAAAAAAGCGCACCATCTTTGATCGGCGCCCAGGTCTCCTGAGTCAACACCTCATCAGTAAATTTGGTGCCGGTGAGGTGGAACATCTGGCGAATGGCCTCACCACGGCCACGGTTGACGAAATAGTAGAATTTGTAGTCCGGCATAACTTAAAGTACCAAATTACCACGAAGCAGAGTATGAAGTGGGAAATTGAAGATCAGATGTGGGATGAAAATGGGAAATTCGATATTTTAAGGCTATACTAAATTATTAAAAAGCGATAGGGTAATCGCAAACGTGAGAATATGAAAAATGAAGAGATCTATTTATCAGAAAAGTATATCAAAAAGGGCATAGCGGCCATCGGCTGTCCCGGGGGGAGGGACTGGAGATGAAAGACCAGGGCTATCGGGGGAAAAACACGGATGGGAACGGCGGCCGTTCCCAGGGTGGAATTCGTCGATTTTTGTGTAAAAAGGTAGCAGAATATGACCAATTGAATTCTCTATAAAAACAGGATCGAAAGCAAGTTGCAGAAAGTCCCCAATTAGGCAAAAATGACGCGTTTCGCTTACAGAAAAGGTACAAAATTTGCAAAAATCAAAATTTTGATTGTCTGAGTCAGGGTAAGCTTCAAATTTTTGTCTTAGGATAGGTATTAGCGTAGATAAAATTCCACTCCCTATCCGATCTCTTCCGGGAAAATTTGTCAAAATTCGCAAAGTTTGTCGAAAAATTAGATTTGTGCTACTAGAACGGGGACCAACCCTAAAAAGGTTAACATTATGAATGCCTTAAACAAGCTAGGATTAATATATCTGCGTATCGAGATATTTAAATGTAATGCTTTTTAAATGAAGAAGATAATGAAATTAAAAGCCTAAATTGCAAGCAAGCAAAGTAGATTTCCTCAAACGAACCTTTTCTTTTTTCATCGTCTCAAAGATTAAATTTTCTAAAACACACGCAATGTCAACAAAGGCATGCCTCCGGGCTCCCCCTGGAGGCAATAAGCATCTCGGGCCCACATAGGGGACCGCCCTTTTCCACTTTTCCACGATTCTGGAGTTGTTTACGGGTCCCCACGCGCTATGCCCTTCTAGGCGAAAAAAGAGGGCCCAGGGAGGACATCAGCTGGGCGAATGGGCGTTCGTTGTTTCGTAAGGTAGCGGCGCTTTAGGGGTATGTAAATAAGGCCGAAAGTAGCAAGAATACAGTAGCAATAATGTAGTCAAGAAGCTTAAGGATGTGGTGATGCTCAAAATAATGCGCTTTGAAAGCGGGAAGCTGACTTCAAACCTCTTTAGAAGTCGAAAAAGAATAGAAGACATGATACGCCAAATATTTATGCATTAAAAATATACCTACAAAATTCGGTGTATACAATGGCAAAATGACTACAGCTATACCGGACAAAACCGAAAACCGCGCTTCGGTCGGATTATCCTAGTTAGCGGACCCGAATCGGCGGGCCCGCCCCGCGGAAATTGCTGTGTTTTTGTGGTGAGGGCCGGATGTTTGTGCTTGGATACATCGCACCAGCATGTATGTATTTGTAGAGCGTAAATAGGAAACAAAAGGAGAATAAAAGGAAACTTTACTGGTGTATAAAAACTATAGAAAATCTTGAAAATAAGGGATGTGGTCAAATCAACCGTTTTACTTATTGGTTTCCCTTACTAGTTTAACAGGCGAGGGAGCGAGAGAGAGTGAGAGATGGAGGAGTGAGAGGGAGCGAGAGCGAGTGAGTGAGAGAGCGAGAGAGCGTGAGAGAGATAGAGAGAAATTGGGACGAGCGGGAAAAGGCGAGAGTGTGGGTGAGAGATCCGCCGTCAGAAAAAAATGCACTATTGGTTCGAATCTTTCCTCTGTTCTTGCTTTCTATCTATAATTTTCTCGTTTGGATTTTATTGACCCTTCAAGGGCTTCCCCAAGTCCCTAGGCCGTTCATCTCCATCATCATCACCAAGTCGGGCCGGGACAAACAATGTTCTTTTTCGCGTTCGTCGCGTTTCCCATGTTTTCTGAGGTCCCGCGACGATCCACTGGTTCCACGCTTTTTTGGTCTTTTGAAGGCGTGAAGGAGGGGGGAGGGACGCGTCCATCCCCGGGGGCCAAATAAAACACCCGAACACCCCCACTTCCCACCGGGACCGGTCGACCCCCTTATTTTTCTCTTGGGCTTATCCCGCTTTACTAGAATTCGACTTTATTTCTGTTTTACGCTATTCAATTCAAAAAAATTTGCCATTGCGATATCTATTAAATTAATGGAATTATGAGGCTACTTCCGGTTGTTGGATTGTTTATTGGTAAGTCGTGAAAATGCAAGTGTTAGAAAGAGAGTGAGAGCGAGAGAGAGAGAGAGAGAGAGAGAGAGAGAGCGAGATGAAGAAATTGTTTAAACGGGATAAGCCGGTTTTCGCTAGTATAGATTGGGTTAAATTTTACTCGGCGGGAGCAGTCGTAAAACCAGACTTGCAGAGAACCTTGAGAAATTTTCCGAATTTCGAATTTAAAATTTCCGACCAAGAAGACATTGGCACCAAATTTATTTACCTTTTTTGGGTTCTAAAATTGTAGATTTTGGATAAATGTTTGCAAATACCATATCGAGGTAGGTGAACAAAAAAAACAAGCTTCTTGAGGATTTCTAAAAATTCGAAAAAGCTGATTAGAAACAAAATTTTGATTTTTATGTCTTTTAGTCAATCACCTGAAGAATTAAATCAGAGGGGGATACCAGCAAAGAACCTTGATGGATCTACGAGCGACAAAAATCGTTGCTTTTCCCGTTTCGTGAAAAACGTGAGAACCGGAAATTCTCAAGAAATCCCAAGTGATAATCCTACAACAAATATAGACAATTTCATCCACTCCATCCATACACCGCTTTTATCCATCACTTTCATCCTTTGCATTCTCGATCTTTTAGCCCTGCACGTTCCCTCGATCATCGCCCATTATCGCGCCCCACCCCAGCCAGGATGTGCGAGGAGAGTTGTCGGATACATCACCAGTTGGGGGGATGTGCCGTTTCGGGATGAGCAGGTAGGCGAGAGAAAAATTTGGCTTTAAAGAGGCTGGCAAGACTACGTACGTCCGTACCTATTTAGGGCCGAGGGCCATTCTTTGTGTAACTGATCCATCCGGTATTTATTTGGAGAGTGTATTCGGGAGAAGATGAGAAGTAGATTCTACCCGAATCGTGTGCCCTATTCAGGCGACCCTTCTCACCCACCTCGTATTTGCCTTCTTCGCGATGGGACCCGACGGGGATCTCAGTCTGACTGGAAAGGCCGCCACACGGCTACACGATGTCATGCAGGTAATTCGGGAGAGAGAGAGAGAGAGAGAGAGAGAGAGAGAGAGAAAGAGAGAAAGAGTGAGAGAGAGAAGAGAGCGAGACAGATAGAGAAAATGAGAGTGATGCAGAGAATTAGCTCAGAATTAAAAGTTTAAGAAAGTATGCATTGCAATTGGCCTCAAAGAAGAAAAAAGAATCGTAACGTAACGTTACGTAAAGGTAACGTCAAAAAAGACCTCAAAAACAAATTTCAAAAATTCACATAGGTCGCGCAAAAAAGTGGTCTGACTTTCATGACATAATCAAGCCGAATTTAAGGTAAAAAAATAGTGGACCAAATTAGACAACAAAAATCAGCTCCGGAAGATGGAAACTTGCGGAACCCTCCTGCATATATAGGCAAAACTTTTCAAATATTGCATCAACGCTAGCTGATCCAAAGACTAGAATACGAGAATTCTCACCGTGGGAAGCAAAGTACCTTCCGTTTTCTTGTTCCGTCTCGTAGCTCCACGTGCTTATCTCGCTTTTACAACTCCAGACACCGAGAATACGTTGTGCTCGCACGAAAAGCTCAAAAATGAGGAAATCGAGACAAAAAACCTTCTGAATCTCTCTCCCTCTTTCTCGCTCTCTCTCTCTCTCTTTCTCTCTCTCTCTCTCGCTCTGGCCCTATCTATCTCTCTCACTCTCTCTCGCTCTGGCTCTATCTATTTCTCTCACTCTCTCTCGCTCTGGCTCTATCTATCTCTCTCCTCTCTCTCTCTCTCTCTATCTATCTCTCTCTCTCTCTCGCTCTCTCTCTCTGTCACTATCGCACTCTCTTGCACTTTCTCACATGTTCAACATTATTTTGATGAGCATCAGAAAAAATTACGGTAGTTAAAACTTAAACAAAAACGTGAGATTTCGCAAAACGCAGGCTCTAAAATCTGCCTCGAAATGGCATATGCCATGTGACCCGCCCCGGTGCTAAAATTCCCTTTTCGGCTTATGCAAATCCATGTTTTCAACAGGTTGCACGCCGACACGCTCACCTGAAAGTCCTGTTCGCCATCGGTGGGTGGGAGAACTCGCAGCACTTCTCGAAAATCGCCGCCAGCCAGGCGGGAAGGGCAAAGCTGAACGGGAACATCAGAAAAGTGATCCAAGAGTTCAAATTTGATGGTGTCGACTTGGACTGGGAGTATCCGGTCACCGGAGGGGCTGTTGAGGGAGAAGAGGTATATTCTGGGAAACTTTAACATTTTTTCAATTTTTTGAAAAGTGATGATTTAAAAAAATTTAGATAGGTTAGGGATACAGACTTCCAGAGATTTTTTGAGAGAAAAATATGATAAAATTTCAATATAAGATTTGTACATCGTTTTATACGATTTTTGACATTTAGATGGATCGCCAAAACTACGTTCAACTGATGGCTGAACTGCGCCAGGAGCTGACGGATCTGAAGGAGTCGGAAGGCCGAGCCGAACAGTATCTCATCTCATTTGCAGGAGCGGCTGGTTACTGGGTGCTGAAGCCGGGTAAGAGAGACGACAAGAGCGAGAGAGAGCGAGAGAGCGAGAGAAAAGAGAAAGAGATACGCAGCGTACCTACTTACATTCAAACCTTTTATCCATTGTCGTGATAAAAATCGGCCCGCTGCTGCGCTCCCTTGCAAAGCTCCGTCTCCATTCCCTTGAACGGGGAAGGTTCTAATTTTTGTAAAAAGTTGATGCAGATTAATTAAGTATAGCAACCAGTTTCTCTAAAGCGCCTGCAATTTTTAGGCTTCGACCTCCAGAATTTACTCCGCTACGTCGACTTTGTCAACGTCATGTCGTACGACTATTTTGGTGCCTGGCAGAGCAAATG